AGTCATCCTCCACTTGGTCGATCGTACGCTTCTGGCCCACAAACGACGGTGAAGGAAGCAGTTTCTTGGGAGATTGGTTCTCAAAGAGGGAGCGTTTGACCGGTGAAATGTCTGAGACAACATCCAGGTGTTTACTGCGTGCGGGAGACAGACACGCGTTGGGGGTCTTGTCACCAAGGATGCGTCTACCGTCTTTGACGGGACTGAGGTTTGACGTAGATTGCATTGCAATGAGCTTTAGTGAAAGACGAGGGAGGAGTTAAAAGAGTGAGACGTGGTGAGATAGGTACAATTGCGACGGCAACATTCAAAGTATAGGAGTGGGACAGAAGTACGTAGAGGACGATCACCACGCGAGCTGTTCTGGGGGCCAGGAATGTTTCAACCCGGGTCAGATAGGCGAGGAATGTATACAGAGGAAGGAAGAGAAAGTACAATTGAAAATCCAAACTTCTCCCCAAAGAAAAGCAGGTGGTGGAGAGAAGTAGGTAAAGAAAACAGCGCGTTGGAGATGCGCGTGTGCAGTGGCTGCTGTATAGTACGGCGTAAAAGTACCTTAGCAGTACTAGTTGTGGTGGTTGGTTGTACCCACGCAGTATTCAATGGTACCTCCGCCGTGACCAGGCCCACTCCGAAATGTCGCCCGCGTCTCTCCACGCGTCGTGATAAGAGATAATTGACAGGAGTGAGTGATCGAATAACTCTGGAGTCATGGAGTGGATTCAGGACTAGCTTGAATGCAACTATTTTACTCAATATTAAGCTGGGTTGAGGGCGATCCTAGGCCGAAATAGATCTCTGGTGCTTTGTCCAGGTACATCTCAGGTACCTTGGGGTACCAGACGATGAAGTATAACAATCACGTTGATGAGAGATCTAGAGAGGTAGCTACCATGACTTCTTATACGATTGTCTCTATGACAGGGAATCAGAAACTCAGGGGAGATGGCCCAACTTCAAATTAATCCAATGAATGGGGCCTTTCATTTCTGACGCATATTTCATTTCGTCCTTCATCAGGAGCATGTGCCTGAGGTGTCTAGAGATATACCACAATCCCCGATCAATTCTCTGTTCCACTGTCGAAAATGCTTCAATAAGGTTCTTGATGATATTGTTTGTTCTAACTAGTCTTTTCCCGTTGTTCACATTATTGTATACAACCCTAGTGGATTGTTGACTTGGTGTTGATGTATATATAACCGCCCACAACCGTGCAAATTCCAGGATTCGAAAACATGCATGAATTATTTTGACACAACAGACCACCTACGTGCCTTGGTCTTTCTGTCCTCCATATTACTTAGCATTGAAAGACATTGTCGTTCTGTTCTTGATCACTGAGAAGCTCTAACAGTCCTCTTCAAAACATCTCCGCATGACATCATCTCCTTGGCTCAGTGATCCGAATACCTTCGACTATTTCTCGCAATTCGAATCCATCAGATGGATATATAGTGGTATATCTACCTTGTTCGAGTTGGGGCTTAGTGTCTCAGCACTCGCCAGCGAGACGCCGACCACAGGCTGGCTTATTTGCCCAGTCAACATCATCTGACCCTCCTAGGCTCTTCCACTACAAAGTATCCCGAGCTTTCCCCGCATTCCTCGCAAGGCACGCAACTGGTTCTGTGGCTTGTGTGCTGCATCGCCCCTCATCATCCAAGACTGACTGGACTGTCGGGACTGAATCCCTCTCTCAGTCGATCATTGCGTCTCCAGTGGTCCTCTAGCCACCAACCGGACGAATTGCATCGTCCGTCGATGTGGAGTTGAGTCAATCTGCCTGTTTCAACACTGATCGTCAGTCAGCCTTCGAACAGACCGCCCGAACCTCTCTCTTAAACCAATTTCCCTCCGTTACACTGCTCTCTATCTCGTCCCGTGTATCACCGTTCTCTGCATGCGGATCTGATTGTAACCTGATTCCTAGCTACACACTTTGCTGTACACCAACACAATGCGCTCATCCCTTGCGGTGCTGGCAGCCGCTGTTGTCCAGGCGGCTGTCGGTGCAGCATCAACCCTCACACCTCCAGTTCTGCCGTTGACAGTGCGAAATCCTTACCTGAGCACTTGGTTGGGGGATGCTCGAAAGGTGCCTTGGTCCAAATGGCCCATGTTCTATACAGGGGAAGAGCTTGGGCTCTCTTTGATGGCCCAGATCCCTAGTACCGGCACTGTATATCCGCTGCTGGGCAAGCCTCATGATTTTGTGTCCGGGTATGGTGATATTGTATCTGTGGTCCACATTAAATAAAACCCAAATGCATCTCAATCTGACGGATTTTACATCAGAGCCCCAGTCGAGTATCCGGCGTATCTAGGGGCCCAGTACGATGCTTCGACAACCAATCTGACCTACCGCATTGATTCGGCTGCCTCGTCTGCGGCTGGTCCAGTTGCAATTACGGTTTCTTTCTTGTCTCCCATTACCCCGACATCGACCCTGCGGCAGTCGATTCCTGCGTCCTACATTACGGTCTATGTCCACGGTGATGTGCCTGTCAATGTCTACATGGACCTTAATGGGCGTTGGGTGAGCGGAGATGCAGGGAGTCAAATTGTCTGGCAGCATGACACCTTCGGTTTTAAAGGGAAGACGCCAACCCTTCAGAAATGGCAATTTCGCCGACAGAACGAGCTCCTTCTCTCAGAAATTCGTGATCGGGCCGAATGGGGCACCCTCCACTTTACTGGACCTGCTGTCAGTAATCTATGCTTCATCCCACTCGTCTTTGACAGGATTATTAACTGGCAGCCCTAGGATGTCCAATATCACTCTGGCGATGCTCACACTGTCCGCAACATTTTCGCGACAAATGGAGCCGTCCAGAACGTGAATGACGACGCTTTCCGTGCCATAGGAGATCGTGAGCCTGTATTCGCATTCTCCAAGTCTTTCAAGCCTAATACCAGGGCAAATGACACGCAAAACAGTGTAACGTTCTCCATTGCTCTAATTCAGGATCCAGTCGTCCAATTTGCCTCTGCTCGCGGCCTGACCCTCATGAGACCACTTTGGCGATCATGGTTCATGGATCCCGAAGAACTGCTGAGCTTCCACTACAATGATTTTGCACATGCGGCCACCCTCGCTTCCGATTACTCTGACCAGTTGGCAAAGGATGCCTACCAATCCGGGGCGTATGACTATATGGACATTGTCGCACTTTCTGCCAGACAGGTGATGGGAGCAACGACATTCTCTGGAACCCCGATGACCCAATCCTGTTCTTGAAGGAGATCTCCTCAAACGGCAATTTCCAGACCATCGATGTTATCTTCCCTTCGTTCCCCTTCTTCATGTACACGAACCCTCGCTGGCTGGCCTACCTGCTCGAGCCATTAATCGAGCACATGCTCAGTGGACAGTACCCCAATACGTACGCTATGCATGATCTTGGGGCCCATTTCCCCAATGCGACTGGCCACCCGGACGGTCGTGATGAGTACATGCCAGTAGAAGAGTGCGGCAACATACTCATCATGGGCCTCGCAGTTGTGAACTCGCTCCGGTATACCGACGATTCGGCGGCTTCTTCGATCTGGTCCACACTAGGTGTTCCCCCCAAGGTCTCCGAACCACACACTGGATACTTCCCTCTGGGTGAGCTGCAGGCCTTGTCCGGAATTGATAAACAAGACGGCAAATGGGGCGGTGGTGCGGAAGGCGAGCGTCTTGCTGAGAAATGGGTTCAGCGCAGCTACAGGCTCTGGACTCAGTGGACGGGCTACTTGGTAGAATACTCCCTGGAACCTGCCAACCAGCGTAAGTCCTTCCCTGTACCTTTTCCTCAAGTGCTAAAGCTGATCTGAGTAGTCTCCACGGACGATTTCGCCGGATGGCTTGCGCTGCAGACCAACCTGGCACTGAAAGGCATCATCGGCATCAACGCCATGAGCAAGCTGGCTGAAGTAGCCGGACACGATACCGATGCAGCATACTTCAAGGTATTACGCCTATTCCCCTTAACCCGCCAGCGGCACTAACAACCGCAGAACATCTCGGACACCTACATCGCCAAATGGGAGCAACTCGGCATGTCCCGCGATGGAACCCACGCAAAGCTCGCCTACGACTGGTACGGCTCCTGGACCACCATCTACAACCTATACGCCGACGCACAGCTCTGCTTCCACCTCGAAGGCACCGACTCCTTCCCGGCCTCCCTCCTGAAAGCCCAAACCCCCCTTGACAGCAAGAAACCGTCCAAAACGGGCTTCGTGCCCCACCACATCTACCAGAAACAGTCAATCTGGTACCACTACGTGCGCCAGAAATACGGCCTCCCGCTGGACAGCCGCCACCTCTACACGAAGACAGACTGGGAGTTCTTCGCCATGGCGGTCGCCAGCGAGCGCACGCGCAGCGAGATCCTCGAGTCCGTCGCCAAATGGGTCAACGAGACCGTCACCGACCGGCCCTTCACGGATCTCCACAACACAGAGGGGCGAGGTGAGTTCCCTGGCCCCAACTTCTTCGCGCGGCCGGTCGTCGGCGGCCATTTCGCGTTCTTGGCGCTGCAGCGTGCTTGTGGCGGGCGCGCGATGGACGGGCTGGCGTTTCTTGATGATGAGTCCGATAGGGAGACGATGCAGGAGTGGACGGCTGCTGCTGCCAGAGCGGTGGAGGAGTTGCAGACGCAGTCCGGTCGTTGGGGGTATGGGTCCGAGAATGGGGAGCTGTAAGATAAAAACTGCAGTGACTTCCAAATTGGGAGCCGTTTGCCATGGTAACTCTGTTGGATATGTTTCGGGGTATCTCTGGTTAATTGCGTTGATAGTTGGCCTATATATATGCAGTTCGAGTAGTACCAACATGAGGATCATTGTTCCATGTAGGCACATCCTTTACAAATGGAGTAAGGACTGGCCTATATATATGCAGTTCGAGTAGTACCAACGTGAGGATCATTGTTCCATGTAGGCACATCCTTTACAAAATGGAGTAAGGACTGATGTTACCTATGATTACAAGAGAATCTAAGAATTTTTAAGTTGGTTTTTCTCAATTTCCTATTTTTTGACACTCAAATCAAATTACATAGGCCATTTTCAGAGATGGAAACGAAAACCGCGAGGACGGTGAGATTTCCTTTTTTTGAGTTGCTGTGTTTGCTCGTTCCCGCCAATTTCCATAATCGCGTCAGACTCTTGGGGAGTTGAAAGGGGGCATCAGGTCGACATTCTCTTAGGCCAGTGAAACTAAACCATTCCCCCTCGTCCGGGCAACCGTCAAATGCTGGACAGGTTTATTTGGCACCGAGAGTGGGGAAGTTCTTCTCGTCGACGGTGACGGGGGCGGCGCCGCGCTGCTGCTGCTCACCACCACGGGGAGCACCGTTGCCACGGCCACCGCGACCACCACGGCCGCCACGTCCACCACGGCCACGGCCAGCGCTTCCACCACGGGGGGACTCAACGAAACGCATGTCGACCTCGAGGACGTTCTTCTCCTTGCGCTGCTTCTCGCGCTTGGCCTTCTCCTCCTTGCCCTTGATGTAGGCCTCTTCCTCCTCGGGGGTGCGCTTCAGCTCCTTGGCGTTGGCCCACTTCTTGTCGAGGTTGCTGCCCTCGTTGGGGCGCGGACAGGCTTGGCGCTGAGGTCACCCTGGGCGGCCTTCTCGGCGAGGTACTCGGCATAAGTCTTGGTCTTTTCGGCGGGCTCAGCGGGCTCCTCGTTGGCGGGGGTCTGGGGCTCGGATTCGTTCTGAGCAAGGTTCTCAGCGGCTCTCTCGTCATCCCAAGCCTTGTCACCAGCCTTGTCGCCGGTCTGAGCACCCCAGCCCTGGTTCACCTGCTTGCGGGTGTCGCTGTTCCGGAAATCGCGATCAGTTTCATTATTCTCTCCTGTTCCAATCGAGTACTCGAATTGCTTACACCTGGCCAGTGCGGGACTGACGATCGTTGCGGTAACGCTCACCACGGTCGCCACGAGCGTGGAAGGCGCGGCGCTGAGGCTCCTTGCCCTCATCGAGAGGCTTCTCACGGTTGCTGCGGCTGCCGGCCTGACGGTCACGGAAAGCTATCAAGAGATTGAGATCAGTCGAAATTCACAATCGAGCTGGCGTACGACCGCGTTCAAAACGATTCGGTCCAGTGGAACTCCTTGTGACATAAATGCAAGTAACACATACCGGCCTCGTTGCCAGTGAAGCGACCGCCACGGCGAGCATTGTTCTCATGAAGGTTGGGCTGGGTGGCAGGCTCCTTGGGAGCATCACGCTTGCCATGCCGGGGCACAGGCCTGTCTACAGCCCGCGTAGGGGGTTCTGGCTCTCTGTTGGGGTCCAATTCAGGGTCATTGCCTGTGATCGCGTACGCGGCAGTGTTAGAAACAGGATGATGTAATCGTGATGCCGAGTACGACACGAAGAGAGAGAAGGGAAGTAAATACCAAGAAGCTCGTAGAGGTTCTATTCATATTGATGCGAACACCAGTTAGCCAATTGTTACTCTCTTGAGTCCTCACGTGTTGTTTGCTTCTTCTTTTTTTTGGCCTGCTGCGTCGATCGATAGCTCGAACCCGAACCCCACCCCAATTGGTCTCTCGTTTCTCAATTCGAACCGAAATGCAATTGAGGAGCGTCCCGATCGCGAATCGCATTGCAGCATGGCAATATGAGGAAAATCACTCGTTTCGCACACATACCTTGGACCGGACGTCCGCCATGACGCCTGGTTTTCTGAGGGGCCTTCCGGGGGAAGGCTCTCTATTACCGAGGCAATTCGGTAGAAGAAAAAAGGGGGAGGAGTCGATCAAGGTATAAACCTGGACGACTGTCTCGATACGCGAACCTCTCCTCAAGGGGATTGGGGAGAAGATAGGATAAGGTGGATGATGATGATAGGGATAAGAGGGAAGGGGTTGGGTGTGGTGATGCGAAGGGCTTCGGGGATGGAGGCAGCGTTTGTGGTTGCAACGCACTAATCGGGTAAGGTGCGGATTGTTGCTAAGCGAATCCGGCAGGTCGAGCTGTGATTGGCGGCTAGCTTCTAGGGCTTAGGGTATTGGCGTCACTCGCAGCTGTAGATGTCATCATACAAGTGAAGGGCGTCAGCTACTTTTCGATGGGCACGACTGCACCGCTACGTCAATATTAACATTTGAGGATCAGATAGAGCTGTCATGTGGCCAGAGAACTTTGCTTGATTTGAACTTTTGCAGTCTGGCCCGCCAATAAGCTTTTTGAAGTCGAAGGGTAACTGTTGCACACAGCACCTTCACTACACCACAGATGTTCTTTCCAGCAACCGAGGATAATCGAAGAGCGCAACTAGAAGGACCATGATGGCGCGATGGTCAGGAACAGAGTCAGATGAAAAAAATATATATATATATACTGGTAGTATGGAGTCGAGAGAAAATGCCGAATCATGCGGCAGTCTTTGCCGCCAACCTCGATAGTCATTTACAACGAATCTGAACTTTTCGGTCCGTCTCTTGAAACATTCCCAAACAGAGCAATTTTTCTGTCTTTTTTGATAAACAGCAACCCAACAAAGAAAAGTGGTATCAACCGCGATGCCGAACGCCGGACAATGCAACCGAATATGACAACTTTTATCTTCCGAATCCGTGGACCAGAGGCGTCATGTATGAAAGCAGGAAAGGACATGCCATGAGATAATCGTTACTCGCCTCCCTTTTTGTGATGCTTTCCATTTGATACATATGTGAATTAGTAGGCCGTAACAGGAGAACAAGTGAAGTGGACAACGACGCTTAATGACGCGTATGGTTTTGCTCATAACTAAAGGGAGTTTGGAAATGCATGCTAGCGCTCAATCCGAACGGATCAGCGTCCAGCATGGGCTCGTAATTGCCGAGTAGGTGATTTGTGGCACTGTATGCTCCATTGGATCCTTCCCCAGCATGCGGATTGAAGTTGGCGAGTTGAGGCCCTAGCGAATGGGAGCCGGGAGGGACTGAACTAGTAGCAGCATTGAATCCGGAGACGTAGGGAGGTGCATCAACCGACTCATGTTCTTCGTCGATCATGTCCGCCTGGGCGTCATATTCCTGTTCTACAGGGGAAAGTATGAGTACACGCAATCACTTCTGAAAAGGAAAAAAAAAGCAAAGTGACGGCAACAAGGCTCAGCTTACCCAGTTGATCGTAATGTTTCTGGAATGGCGATGGATAATACGCAGCAGAGGGCACGCGGGCGACTCTGGGACCCGTACCACCTGGCACAGCCGATTTGGGATCGGCCGACTCGGGCTGACCGATGCTTATCGGGGGAGACGCCTGACTCAAGCTCCGAGAATGAGGGTTTAGTTGAGACCGCGCGTGCTGGGCTTGTTGCGCGTCCATCCCGTTTGGCGACATGGCTCCTTGGAATGCAAAACCGGGAGACTTGGTGTGCGAAGGGGACGACACGTGTGATGAGGGAGTGGCCTGGAACTGAGGTGAAGGGATGCCGTATGCTCCATCACGCGACATGGCGAACGGCTCCCCTTTAGGGGCAATGCCGGCTGGAAGTCTCTGGGCTGCAGTTCGGTTGACCGCCGCTCGGTCTAGTGTTGACGGGGGTTTGGCAGCCATGATGTTGGGTTTGATTGGTGCTCCTGGCGGAGCACCGGCCTTGAGTCGCAACTCGGCTTGGACATCAATGCCTAGTCTGGCTGTTAGTAAGGAACGGAAGAGATAAACGGAGTCGACGTACCCTTCTCTAACAAGATCCTCTCCAGTAGAGAATTCTTATATCGAAGCATCAGACATTCATCGGCAGCGGTACGATGATTCTGCTGCAGAGTCTGCAGGGTTTCTTCATTGCGCTTGATAGTGGTTTCAAGTTGACGGATGTACTCTGTGCGACGTTCTCGGAAAGCCGCCTGAGCTTGTCTGTTGCGTTGTTTGCGTTCCTCCGAGGTAGCATAGATCTGGGTTAAACTGTTAGAAGAAGAGGAACCAATCAAAAAGGAAAGAAGAAAATCAAGATAAGGAAGCAAAAATAGAAAGACATAAGGCTAAGAATAAGGTGAACAGGGGAAGGCAAAGATAAGGGATGATCAATCATGATGATAAATGATAAAGCGAAATTTAGTGCGGGGCCCCAGATTTGAACACAGACGCATGGGAAAAGCACACCACATTAACGCAGGAACAAGAGATAAAGATGTAGATAAGATATCCCATGGGTCAACGGCTAATGCTAAGCCTTTTAACAAAAGAATATAGAAACCATAAAAACCGACAACGAAAAAAAGTGGTGAAGTGTAAGGATTTACGTACGGGTTTTCTTCCACCTTTTCGCTTCTGTGTCTGGGCTACGTCCTGCATTGGAACTTCACCCTCTGCTTCAGGCGTTGACACTGATGAACTGGTCGATCCCTCGGGTAAGGGTTCTGACTTAGGCACGACCGAATCCATGGCCGTGTCATTGTGATTTGAATTGGAGGTCTCGACCATAGAGACCATTTGTGATTATAGCGACGATGCGCCTGGTGCCTTCCTTCCCTTGAAACGTCTGTGATCTTCCCCCTTCCCCGCCTACTCAGCCAGGACGAAAGAGGAAGAGATCAAATGAGAGAGAAAGATAACGAAGGATGTATGCGATGGCACTATCAACCCCGATTGCGACGAACCGGAGCTGACGGACTTGGTCGCTCGAAGGCGCGCTTAGACGGAAAAAAAGATAATGGATAAAAGGGGAAAAAAAGCTAATAATAATAAAATATAAAAAAAGGGCCGGTATGGAGGTAAAGATCTCGAATTCTGTAGGGCTATCGATCAAACGCTGGAGACGCGCGGCTGTTGCGGATGGTAGTCAGGTTGGAAGAGCCTAAGTCGATATGTGACATAAAGGAAATTGATGATGGGATAAGAGATACAGCACGATTGCTAAACGGTTAGATTGAGGATGGTAAGAGGAGGAGGAAAAGGGAGTGGTGGTGGGAAGATGTGAGGTAAAATTATTTACTAACAAGAAAAGGGATCTTATAATTAGTTTTGCTTCTAGTGACTTGGGGCAAGAGTTCAAAAGAAGAAGAAAAAGCCCACTTTGTCGTTTGAATCCAATTGTTGATTGATGGAGGCACCCGAAGAGGAGTAAAAAAGAAAAGGAAAAAGTAAAAAAAAAAGGCGGAAAAAAGCGACTTGCCCGTGGTGGACACCGGAGACCATAGCCTCTAGGCTCAAACAGAGCGATAGCCTCAGATGTCATGCTACGAACTCGCTTTCTTTTCTTTTTCTACTTAATCAAGCCATTAATCCCCTCCGTCTATCTAACTCAGGAAACCGGTTATTTCCCCCTCCCTCTGTCAATTCAGTGAAAGTTGAGAACCCTCGACCTTCTCTTTGCTTTTCTTACTTCTCTGTCGGCGAACGGAAGGTATAGACCCACCGAAACAGTCTGATTCATCAAAGGCAGCCGAAGATCCGTCAGGGCACGGTCAAGAAACAACAACGTGAACAAGTCGGCCGTCAGTCGTCAGTGTGTGCCCCTCGAGGTTGTGCCCCTGTGGATTTGTTGGTCCGTCTAGGTCACCCCTCGACGCCATGTCCCAATGCAGGCAACAAGTGGACTTGGGCCATGACACGAGATCCATTTTCATTTCCAACAGAGCATACATGCCATTTCTCAGTAAACAGCAGATAGAAAGCTGCTCAGGGTTTGAGATGTTGATGTTGCTTTGCCGTCGTAACTACTACCTCCATAGTATCTTAAAGCAGCATCCCCTTCATCATTCTCCCACTTCTCTACGCATCTCATCCCGCTGTGATTCTCAGGTATGTAGTTGTCCGCGGAGAAGCCATGACGAATGAAGTACGGGATAGGCCAATACGCGGTTGTTACCATTCTTACAAGCCAAGAATACCGTATTTCTGCCATCCTCTCAGATCTCCGATACTGGAAAATTCTGCTCGGGTGTCCCCTGGTACGCCTCTCGCTTAATGTCCCTTTTGAATTTCACTGTGATGGATATTGGAACCTTTGAATTTTCACTCCCGACAAATCAAGTCCGCCTTCACAAACTAGGATTGCTGGATTGTAGCCTAGCAGGGACTATGGCATGGTTCTTATGTACGGCGTACGGAGTACAGCACAAACGAGACCCGCCGATGCCGGCTTCCATCGGCTCACAGTACGGAGGACCGTGGACCATCGTGCAGTTCTGGAACGTCAAACAAGACATACAACCCCATCAGGATGCTCGACTAAATTACTCTATGAGGCTATGGGTACTCGATCCTAGCAGAAGCATTATTACCTCTATTGATTCTGGGGGATGGCACATGACCTTCCCCGGCAGGCCAAGGTACCTCAACACTGTTACAGTCACATAGGAGACCTCCGAAAAGCCTGGCACTGTGGCACTTCCCGCAAGAAGAAGGGAGACACGTACCTCGTAACCCCGTCTGCCTATCATCATCTAGTCGTGAAGAGGCTTACCCAAGAGCCAAAGACACAGGCAAGGAGTGACATCACGAGGATCAGCCACGGGGCACATCATCTGATGATCTGAGCTTTTCCCTACACTCTTGGCAAACAGTCAGGGGATGAGGGGTGTCTTTTCCGCGGGGTAGTCTAGCAGCTAGCTAGCTTGCAGGATGCCAGTGAAGTATTGTGATCGACTCATTATGATCTCTGTCCTTTATTGACCATGATGGTAATAATCTAAATCATCGTCAAGATATCAACTCTATGCATACTCCGTCCAGGAATTGCGATTCGTCTGGTATCTATATCATCTCCAGAAACTTCTAAAAAGGGAAATTGTTACGGAGCCCACCGACTCTACTGGGCATTAGACTATACCGTGCTAAAAGGACTTTACTCTGGTTGCCCCTTTTCAATAATGGGCTCTTATTGTTACATACTACTAATTTCTCTCTAGTGAATCGATCCTTTCCTGGAATTCCTTCGAAAGTGAGGTCGAACCCTGCCGATTCTTTTTACCAACCGTAGGGCTCTTAGAACATCACCTCGACTACGGAGTAACCAGATCTGCCTCTCCTGTACCAATGAGCGGGGAGATTGGCGTTGAGAGATCTCCTACCAAGGACTTCGATATCCGAATTCTGATGGTGATGCTATGATTAGTTATTGAAATCCAACACTTTAATGTCATAACCTCGAGCACTGAAAGTGATCCCTTGTGTGCTTGAAGACTCTCGTAATTTGCATGCCTATCTCGGAGGATTGATCCCAGGAGCAGCTGTTGGATGATAAAAGACGACCCCCTTTCCCAGCAATCTGGGTCTTGCACCCTCGAATCGATTTATGTCACAGATATGGGGCAAAGGAGATATACAGCAAGACATAGCTTACCTCGACGCTGTCAATCTCTTCACCACTACTTCAGATATCTGCTGCTCGTCCAGCATTCCATGACTCACATGCATCAAGGTCTGTGGCCGTTAGGATTACTGGAACATGGGAGAATGGACCACCAACAGGTAATGCCGCACGCATTCTGTCAAGATCAGCTGCCAATTGAGAAGACAGAGAAGACGGTGAAGCCGTCCAGGAGCATTTTTCTCCGTGTGTGAAGTTGGAAATATTGGAAGTCGTTGCAGGACAAGTACAAGCATTTGCCTAGAATCTTAGTGCGCCTCTTCAAACTTTCTACTGTGTACTTAGTAGGGGAACAGATGGATACAACAGGACAGGAATGGATGTGTTTTGCGGGGTGGATTTTTCCATGGATTGGAAGAGGATAAAAGCCGACAGAGGAAGGCCCTGAAGGATATGGAAGACCTAACGGCGCTGGTAACGATCCAGGAGAGCCGGTAGAAGTGTCGTCGAAAAAGCAAAAAGAAGGTGTCAAGCGCGAATCAGCCATGGAAGCTCAAACATTGATGCTGAGGGCTAGATCTAGCTTTGGATATGGTCTGGCTACTACTTCTCAGCTGAACAACGAAATGTTAACTTAGCTAAACGAAACCTTTAGCCTGCAGTCTGTCCACTAAGCTATTCCTAGCATCGCAGTTCGCGATACAGAGACACCCATCAACTTTCCCTGGAAAGGTCTATCAGGACAAACACGGAGTATACGTCAAGACAATCGACGTCTGCCACCTCCAGCAGAGAGCTTGATACCTACACAGAGTCCGGACTCCGCAATTGGAAGAAGGAATAGTCGAGTCCTGAGTCATCTGGATCCTTGCTGTCACCAACTGACGCCATTGCGACTCAGAGTACTGGTTAATTATTGTACTGCTTTCAACTTCTGCCAAAACCATGCGTGGCTCTAGCCTCATCGGATTATGTTCCCAAATATTGGGAAGTGTCTGGCGGCTAAATCATCTCTTGAGGAATCAATCATGTTTTAAGTAGCGTTATTGTGGAGATTCCGCATTGTAAGCATTAAAGGCCTCAAGAGTACTTCTATCGTTCAATAAAAGCTACTCTTATAGATAAACCCAACTTCACTATGGTTTATGTTACTGAATACTATGTGACCATATAGCCTGGCCTTAAATGTGAACATCCTTGCATGATGCTTACAATGCGCAAGAATTGCTTGTGCTTTTCCGGGGCGTCAGGGATTAACAACTGTCCATCAATCATGTCAACCAGATTCGATTTTCTCTTTCATCCACAGATATTTATGTGACAAGTCTTTAATGATAATGTTCCCATCGCTTCTACTGTCTTTATCTCGGCTCGGACGGACATGGAAGCCCCTCAACTTCTCTAATCCCAACTTCGTCTGAATACCTGCAAGCCAGAAGATCGAAGAAGAAACCATCCCGGATTATGTTGCTTCTCGGTATTATCCTGTTCGAATAGGAGAAGTTTTCAGGAACAGGTATCAAATCGTAGGAAATCTAAGCTTTAGAACTAGCTCGACTGTATGGCTTGCTCGGGACATGAAGTGAGACTCCTATGGCACTCATGGATTGACTCGCTAATGCGCTATAACAGCTATTGTCGCTATGTTACCCTCAAGATCCTTATCAAGTCCACATCCACGGGACAGCAATTGGATGATGAGCTGATGATGTACTAATGCATGGAGAGAGGCTTGAGAAGCTACCCAGGTCGCAAAGCCGTTAGATCGTTACTCGACTTGTTTGGAGTTGATGGGCCCGACGACAAAGCATTAATGCCTTGTGCATCCTCCATTATGGGAGAGTGTGTTGACCTTTCTGCACTGTAACCCAGTCCATAGGCTTCCTAAACTAGTCCTTGCATTTGTGCTTCAGCGCCTGTTTATGGCGCTAGGCTTTCTGCATACAAAATGCCAGATTATACATACAGGTATGTGCTGCGATTTTGTCTTCCCCTACTTCTATCATCTGCTTAGTAGAGAATCTCATCAGACATCAAAGCCGACAACATCATGTTTAGCATCGCAGACGACTCGGTTTTCAGTAGCTTTGAAGAGCAGGAGATTCAATCCTCTTGCCCAAGGAAAGAACTAGATGGGAGAATCATCTACATCTCCAGGGAACTCAGAATACCCGAGGAATAGGGCGCCCCGGTCCTCTGCAACTTTGGCTCAGCGGTGTCCAGTAGCATAGAGCACTCGGAAGACATTCAGCCTAATATCTATCAAGCACCGGAGGTGATTCTGGAAGCCCCATGGACGTACAGCGTTGATATATGAGATGCGAGATGTATGGTAAGGGCAATAGGTCCGACGATCTTGGTGCAGCAATTTCTGGAAAGTTGTATCACAGATTTGGGACATCTTCGAAGGCGAGTCTTTATCACTGGCCACGACCCAGAACTTCAGACATACCGAAGTCGAGCTCACCTCGCTGAGATGATCAGTCTTCTGGGGCCACCGCCGCTCAGTCTCCTTGCTCAAGGGAAGTCGAGCCGCAAATTCTTTTCCGACGAAGGTAAGACAGCTTCTTTCCTGGCAAATTCCACTATCGACTCACGATGCTGATCTTCTAGGAGACTTCTGCGCTGGAATTCCATTACAAGATCGCATTCCGCTCGATGAGAGGGAAACTACTCTCGAGGGACAGGACAAAGCGATTTTTCTACGCTGCGGCAGACGTTGCAATGGGAGCCGGGGAAGCGTAGCTCCGCTAAAGAATTAGAAGAGGACGAGTGGATTCGTAAGAATACATGAGAGTGTATTAAGTCAAATCCTTCCAGGGCGTTGTAAGGCCGATTTGAAGAAATGGTAGCACACGCGGAGTCCTCCGTTGTACTGAGGGCTGGCGATGCCGCGGCGATCGGCTTTCGGTTCCCCGCCAAAAGAAACCCCGACAGTTCTTCTTCACATGCGCGCGTCTGCCAAAACTCCCTTTCACCACAGCGCCGGTCTTACTTTCAAGTCATTTTCTCAGAATTGTTCAGGAGTATATAATTACCAGACACAATGGACTCCTCATCACCGAATACCAGTGCAGGCGCCACTCAGCAACATCACGAGGAGAGCCCAGCCGCCGCCCCGCAGCGAACGCCCCCGACAAAACCACCTCAGCGCCTACAACCAGCGCAAGCTCGCCTGGTGATGAGAAACCCACAGCGACAGCGACAGAGGCAACCAAAGAAGCCCCTTCGACAGAAGCCACCGTTGAAGATGCCGACGAGGATGAAGACTCGGAGTTTGACGAGTTAGACGGTACGACCCGCCACCCCTGCGCATCTGACCATAGCTGACTTGACCAGACGTTCTGGATAACTTCTCCAAACCCGCCCCCAGCCAAGCACAACAGCACCTGCACCTGTAAGCGCACCAGCCGCCGCAAATGAAGACTTCGACGAAGACGCCTTCATGCGCCAGCTCGAGCAGGACATGGCGAAGATGATGAACCACGCTGCGCAGGAGTCCGGCGCGCCGGATAACAAGGAGTTCGAGAACGCGATCAACCAGGGGGCCGACGCGTTCACGAAGCAGCTCGAGGAGGGCGGGATCCCGCCTGGTGACTTTTTGAAGCAGCTGCTGGCGGATGTCATGGCGGAGGAAGGCGAGGGCGCTGACACTGGTGCGGGTGCAGGCGCGGGCCCGAGTACCGGTGGACCGTCCGGGTCTACAACTGGTGCTGGGAAAGCGGCTGCGCCAGAGTCCTTCAATGATGCCATTCAGCGGACTATCCATCGGATGAAAGAGTCTGGGGATAAGGCCACGGCGGCGGCGACGGAGGACGGGGGGATTTCGGAGGACATGCTGATGCAGTTGCTCAAGGGGTTGGAGGCGGGCGTCGGGAACGGGGGCGACGATCTCGATCTCACGCAGATGATTGCTGGTGTGATGGAGCAGTTCTCCAATAAAGAGATGCTGTATGAGCCGATGAAGGAGTTGGATGCGAAGTGGGGGCCGTGGTTGAAGGACAACAAGGGCAAGGTCCCTGCTGAGGATATGGAGCGGTACGAGAAGCAGGCTAAGCTCGTCACTGAGATTGTGGCCAAGTTCGAGGAGGAAGGGTACACAGATGAAGATCCGAAGTATCGGCAGGCTGTGTGGGAGAAGATGCAAGAGGTATGTTTTTCTTTTTTTTCTACACTGCTGTATGGCATATGCTCATACCTTCTAGATGCAAGCGCTGGGTAGTCCCCCGGAAGAACTTGTTGCGAATCCCTGGCCGGAGGATATGGCAGGCGACGGGTCTGGGGCATCTTTGCCTGACTGTCCTCAGCAATAAGGTTGGCATCTGAGAACCTATGTTAGTGGGTATGGTGATTGCTTGACGCTTCGCTGCGATGGTGTCTGGTTTAGATTGATACCATCTATTATTGGCATGTTCTGTACATATAACCACGTCGATACCCTATTTACATCAATGAAGATACGGCCTCTGCCGATGGATTTATGCAACAACGCATCTCTGAGTCTGGGAAGAGTTCCCTACACCAACGCCAGATATCCGTCCAAACGCCAGCAATGCATGCTCAAAAGACGACCGCCAAAATCCTCATCCGCTCGACATATCCATATCCTGGCTCTGCGGTACTTGATCAGCCAGACCCATGAAGATATCATCGTATTCTTCATCACTGAACGAGGAGATCGGATCATGCGTTCTATCCGTCTTCCCGAATGGCACATGCCCCGTCTCCAACAGCGCAGTTTCCATAGCCTGCTCCTCAGACACGTACTCATCCAAAGCACGCACATCCGCATCATCTACACAACTGTCAGATTTCTTCTTTGATTTTCCTGCACCCTCGAGAGGAGAAACCTACCCATCCCATCCATCTCCTCCCCTACATCCTCATTCAGCTGATACGCCTCCATGAGCCCATCTGCCCGCCTCCGCATCAGCTCCCCCCACTGCTTCTGTTCCGCCACATGCTCCATCATCATCAGCTGCTCGCCGCGGTTCTCAAAGCGCTCCGCGTCGCGGTCGGCCTTGATCCGGTTGAGGAAGGCGGTCCTTCGTGTGTTGCGCGCAGATGGTGAGGTTGAGGTGGCGTATGTCCGGGAGGCATTGTTGAGGGGGTTGGAGAGGGCTGCGTAACGCTGTGCGTAGGTGGGCGAGGAACGGGAATGCGAGAAGGGACTTGATTTTGTGGTCGCGGTAGAGTTGGTGTTTTCTGTAGAGAAGGAGACGTTGTGTGCTTGGGTTGATTCCGAGTTTGCTCGGTCTGTGCTGCTTGTTGCGCGACGTTCGGTGTATGCTGTTGATGCGGAGGGATCTCCGTTCATTGGCCGTGCTGAGGCAAGCGTCGAGCTGCGCGGCGATAATGGAGACGGATGCATTGGTGTATAATGCGAGCAGGACGCTTGGAAGGCATAGGGCTGTGCTGGTGGGATTGCTGCGAACATGGTAACAAGATGTGGGAAGCGGAAGTCAGGATGGTGGCGGTCGAGGTTAGATTGGGTCAGTTGGTGCTCTTTTGATGAAGGTCAATACCCCGGACAATAGCGATCAAATGTGAAAGTCAATGATAGTAGGGTCTATTGTGGAGTCATGGTGCTTGTCTGGAGATTAATATCGTTGCGCTGTTATCGTGTCCCAGCCACCGTCGCGTCGATAGAGAGCTGGGAACTCCCCCAAAATGACTGTCTCAATAATGTTAAATCGCGCGTCTCTGCACGAGGTCACGCGACTTGGCGCAAACGCTAATCTGTATTAGGAAATATTGCATTCCTCAGGCTGCAAGAGTATCTATAGCCATCTAATATCGAGAATGCATCAGATGTCAGTCGTGTGTAGGGCATCAATTTATCAGTTACAAGGAACATAGAGACTTGTTGATTAATCTACTAGAATATCCACCCACGTTGGGATGAGAGATTATGTCCTCCTCAAGTAGAAGTCTATGTACACCATTGTCAATTCATCTACCTCATCATGTTCAACACAACGATTGGGACATGTTCAAGTTTGGAGCAGCAGTTTGTAATATGAGACCCATCATAAATCACATACAAGATCGAATTCATCATCATATGGGATCGTTGTCTGAGCTATCGGTCCTGCATTCGTATCACTTGCAGACTGCAGGTGGTTGATGCTAGCCGCCGTGGCCTGCACCGTTGATACTGACATGCAGCTTTCTTTATAGACGTCAATTCATGTCATATTTTCCTGTGAGCCGGAGAGTCAACATACTTAGCTGGTCCTGACAATCCTGCAGCGAGAAGGACGCCGATCGGTCTGTATTCGCGATCTATATCAAGTCCGGTCAGAGACAAAAGACAACCCGTTTTGGCTATCGACAGGATATACCTTTTGGCACGCATCAAATTGCTCATTACAGCTGTCAGGCACAAGCGTCATCAGCATTCCATCCCCCTGCTTTACACTGAATCAGACAGACCTCCGTTGAGCAGCCGACTCGAAATCCGTCTGTGTGATAAGCAATTAGCATGACCAGGTTTCGCAACCGCAACAGCACGACGCAAGAAACGGAACATACAAAAGTATTCCCACTGACACCGTACGGTCTCTCAGAGTTCCCGGTACTTGTCACCTACACAAGAGAGCATCAGTCTCGCTCCCACGAGCATGTGTAACCCGGTCAAAACAACTTACCGCAGGCGCGGCACCACCCAACGCCCCCGCAAAGGACTATCGCCAACGAATCCAATTAGCCACCCAGCCTAAAGATCCAAGCAGAGAGTCAAGAGGCGTAACCCGTACCTGAAGATCCTGTCGTTTTGCTAACGGTGGCGGCGCCGCCGCCTCATATACCAGACCTAGGGGGTCATGTCTTGACGCCGCCACAGCTTGAATCAGAGCAAACGACGACCAGAGACAGAGGAGACAGCTTGTCTGAGCGAACAGACAGAGCAAGGAGATAGGTGCTCTCATCTTGATTGCACAGTAGGCTTTAGCTGTGGATGCGCGCGGATATCAATACTCTGGGATGCGCTACAATCCCTGTATTAGGCGCAGTGACCCAATTGATCGTGGCTTTGAGCTTGCATTGTTTTGTATGATAACTGATTAGGAAATTCGTCGTTTGATTGAGTGCATGAGACGATGAGTAACCCATGCACGGAAGCTGAAGCGGGGAAAGGGAGCGGTTGTTTCAGGACTCAACCCTGGCTTGCTGTGGGATACCTAGCTACTCCGTATAGACTGAACTCAATCCGTCAAAGTCAATCTAACGACCGACCTGGACTCTAGCGAAGATATGCAGAACTTAAGACGCCATGATATGGCTTTGTTGTGATCCTTACTGGAACTGCTAATCTCAATTGCGTGGACACATCCGCAACTGTGTTATGGATCTCTACTCGACACGGCCTATCAAGTGCCCCAGTAATACGATTGTTGATAGAACTGAGTGTGATTTGGACTACTTTTCCGTCTGAAATTAAAACGTACATACATGACAAAATTTTGGTCAAATGGCTATGCAATGACAACCACTTTGGAAGAAGGAGAGACGGCGACGGAGATAAGTCGAACCAGTGCATTCCTGTACATAATGGAGTTGTTCGAAAGGGGGAATCAAGAAAAAGACCATCGTGAGAACAGCTGAGCTGCAGAAAGGAGCGTAATCAAAAGGAATGACGGACAGTCTATCGCGTGCCAGTGGCACGATGCAAGAAAAGATACGATCGCAGATGGCGAGGACGCAGTCAAAGGAAAAGAAAGCAAGGAAAAGAACAAAGATGCTTCCCACTTGTAAGCGCCAAATGAAAAAAAAAAAAAAAAAAAAGGACGTGCGTATACTCATACAGATGTACAACCTTGAAAGAAGGGTACCAAGGAACTGTCATCAGCTAAAGTGGCCTAAACGACCCTTAGAAGTTGGACGCAGCGTTAACAGGACCAGGGTTGTGGTATTGGTCGAGTGTACTTCTGAATGGCGTACCGCCAGCCCCAGGGCTGGGGGCCTTCTCTCGAGTACCGCTACCGACAGCTGTGCCACTCATGAGATCGGCAGCCTCATCGTTGTCGGCCGCGGCACGTCTTCTGGCACGGATCCTCCACATGACTACAGCAATAGCACCGATGATGATGGCACCACCAACACCCACCACGACACCGATAATGATCTTCTTCTGAGAAGAAGAGAGACCAGAGCTGGAGTCCTTGTTGGTTGAGCCGTTCAAGCTAGGAGAATCCGTCGAGCTGCTGCCTTGTGGAGAAGTGGTGGTGTACGTGGTCGGCACAGGTGTTCCACTGATCGTGTGAGTCGTGGTGATCGTCTTGACCACATCGCTCGAACTGGAAGTCTTCGTTCCGCTGGTCTCAGCTGCCGACGTACCATCAGAGGTGGTGGTAGATGCTGGAGTATCGTCTTTGGAAGTTGTGGACAATGTGGTTGGGGTAGGCGCAGGGTTATCGTTCTTAGAGGTGGTCGAGGTAGTATCCGTTGATGTTGTTGTTGTCGACTTTGTACTCTCGGAACTAGTAGTAGATGTGGTCTCTTTGGACTCAGACGATGATGTTGTCGAGGTCGTCGACGAATCCGTGGTGGTCGGCGCTGGGAGGCCAGAGGTGACGGCAGCTATGTCAGTGACTCCCTGGCTCTGGCCAGCCGTGACGGCCACGAGGGCCAGAGAGTAGAGGAGGAACGAGAGACGGACGACTCGCATGATGGGTGAGGTATGAGGCGTGACCGAGAGGTGACTTAGTCGAAGATGTCGAAGATCTCTTTACCGAGACGGTGACCGGTAGTATATGAGATGACTCGACTCAAGACGGGGCTGTGTTGAGACTGTTGACTGAGGTGATTCAAATAAGTGAGACCTCTTTGGCGCGTGAAGTGCAGGTGTTTCAAGTCAGGAGAGGCACACAGTGACAGAGGGGTTAACGAATGACCAGATTCGAAGAGAAGGCACGATGTGCAGGCAGCGAGCGTAAGGGAGGCGGGATAAAAGGGAAAGGACTGGAGGAAGAAGAAAGGGTTGGAAAGTCAGAAGGTAGGAAAATAATCCAAGACAGAAACCGTCGCGGGTCTGTAATGGTACCCAAGGGATGTTGTACTGCCAGTCCACAGGTCTCAGATTTTGGCCTGACCCGGTACCACGTTACCGTACCACCATACCATCTCTGGAAAAGCCCAAACACCCGTGCCAGCAAATAAATGTACGGATCCAAGACTAGCGCTGCAACTGAGTCACCTGGCCAATAGCCACAAAGCAGCTGAGACAGTCTAGACCATGCTTCTCCAATGGGCATACAGGAAAGAATTTTAGCCGGAGCTAGGACGCCCTGACCTTTGATCTTTTAGTTTGGTTGGCATACTGACTGCTCGACGAATCCGTCACCTACTGTACAATGGTAGTTGGCCTTGGCGTGGTATTTTCCATCGAATGTCGGGCTATCGGCTCCCTTGAATATGCCAGCCGAACACTGCATAACATCAACTATCTTCCTACTACCTAGTTAACTAAGTTAAAGCTCAACATGCTTATTCATCAATGCTGATCAATGCTGCTATTTTAAGGCACCCACTTAATGAACATTTACCATACCTTACGCACTACCACCGCCCCAGCCGCTTCTTGGAGTCCTAATACCCACCACTTAAAGAGCTTCGGCATGCTTTGATGAGCTCTCTCCTCGGATCATGCGCCATTAATATTAGCTAAGCACAACAAACATTGTCATGAGTCTCACTCAGTCATCGCTCCATGTCTATGGATGGTTAAGAAGTGCTCGGACACAGGATATATGGAATATATCTGTCATGAAGGTATCATCAATACTCCCTTGGATCGACCATCTACCATTCCGTAAATTACTACGGAAATCTTCCCTTTATGGCAGTGATGGATCCTATCTTACGTGTGCCGCACATGCCGACGACATAACTATGCAAATACGCTTTTGTCACGGGACAAGACATGATCCGTAGTTAGTTATTTCTTCTGACAGAATTCTCCCTGTATGCTTTATGCGCAAGGGAGTCTGCCAGCTTGTTATGCTACTAAGATCCAAGGAAAGTACTATATATAAGATAGAGCTGAGAGAGGTACATACATAGGACGTATGACAGCGTAGCTTCACTTCCAAAGGCGAGTAGTCTGTCAAGCATGGATGTTCTTAGCGAAAACTCTGGCATTAAAACATCTGAAGTCGAAACAGCGCAAATAATACTTCGTCGCCGGAACACGGCGGCACCTTCGAAAATCGTACTCGCATGACTACAGGCGTATGATACTTCGGAGACATATGCATAAATGGGCTCACGTGTGCCTCCTGCAGGTACAATACTCGGACGGTCATTGTTTACATGAGATCCATCATCTCGCGCCATGGTTCAGCAGTAGTGGCCGAGATGGCCGAGATACACGTTGTGCTCTTCATAGACCACCCCGAGGGTGTCATTACCGAGGTGTTACTTTTAAGGGCTTCTGTAGGATCATACACTATATGAAATGGGTTCGTTTCATTTGTCGTCAACACTAAGCTACACGTTGAAGAAATCAACATGAGTAGTACTATCCATGTATATATGCTTCGAACTTCAAAGCCTAGCCAAACAGTCCATATAAATCGGCTGGGCAAAGCGGAATGAAGCAAGACCTTCTTCTTCGGATGGAATGAGGGTTGCAGCTCACGGCGCGAGGAAATCTGCAGCCCAATCTTTATCCGGTCTAGCCAAAGCTCAACGGTATAGACAGTTTATCGCGAATGAGGCGGGGGAAGCCAAAGCAGAGAAAGCGATGGATGGGTATCATTGTAGGTCATCACAAAACAATATCGTACATCGACTCGTGACGTGAGATATCTAGAATCTGGTAAAGTCGGGTTCATAGTTTATTCGGCGGCTTGCCCTTGAGCTGATCTTTGATTTCTTCTTTGAAGTATTGGAAAAGCTGTTTGAGGCCGGGACCTATGGACAAAGCCGTCAGCACAATCTCTTCAGAGAAATGATTGTTTCTGGTGCAGTATCTCGCATACCATTCTTTTCAAGCTTGGTACCTCCCATTTCCTCGGGAGGTACACCGTGCCTGAGGTGTTGAACCTTTTGGTGGACTCTTCCGACCATCCTGTGAAATGTCGGGCTGGCCAGCAGCTGTAGTCAACAAGTCAGCTTTGCAAATCCTTTTTGAGATGCCTTGAAGGCAAACATACCCGTGCAGTTAACCAAACCTACTACAAATGTCAGTCAAACGCTGGCCATCGAGACTTTGGTCTGTCAGATGGGGTGCTACGTACCTCCAGGGTTCGGAGCCAAAAAAGCTTGAAAACCATTTGTGGACTGCTGATAGTTATTTTTCAAAGCTTATAGAAGATAGTCTCATGTGATCGTAGGCGTCAGCGGAATCCATCAGGCACCCATAAGCTCTGAGCGTAGAGCACAGAGTGAAAGTAGTAGCCGGATTTGGCGTGTGATGGCTGGGAGTTGGGAAGAAAAAAAGAGGCTCTGCGCCACGCTCTTATGCGCGTTTTAGCCTTTTGTGGCGCGTTTGACAGCTCGACCAGTCAGAAGCGGGGATTTGCTGTTCTAATGATCATTCTCGTTCTCCATGGAAGGAAACAGAGTTTCTTCGCCTCCAAGTCAAGATATTTTGGATATACATATTGATATTGAGTAGTGAGAACAGTAGGACTGTATTCTAGAGGTCAGGATGATTATTGTTGCTTTGTTTTGTAGCATATTACTCCTCCTACACTTCTTTGCAGGTCTCTAAAAACACCTAGTAAGAGCTCTTCTATGGATACTTATGTCGTCTTTCTCCCTTTCCCCTACTATATGTGTTTTCTTCCTCTATGTGATATCAACATCCTTCTTTAGCGATTACATCACTAGACACACCCCAACAATTCTATCCTAGCCTTTGTTCTTGAAAGTTGAAACGTCGCATTCGACACCATCAGACGATCCTGTCCCTCTTCTACTCCCTTTGTTCCTTCTTTCTCCCAACAACTACTCTCCTTATATGCTGCTTTCTTGTGAATATATAATGATCGGCAGGTTCCTGGCCACGTTCTAATCGACTTTTACATTAATCTTGCAGGTGCGGGGAGACCAAAATTGATCGCGTTTCGTGAGGGGCTCCAATAATCTCTCTTCATTATTTCTATCTTTTTTCGTAATTTTCCTCTGGATGAATTTTTTCCGCATTCTATACCTCTGGTACTATCGACCTTAACGGCCCTTGATCGTGCCTAGCATTGGCGTCTCGAAAGGAAAATCTTCGCTGCCTTCGTTACCTCCTGCCTCAACGTAGGAGAAACCAGTCGAGATTACCTCTTCCATTTCGTGGACCTTAACGGTGGCCTCGCGACCGACCCGATTCTATACAAACACTCATTCTTCCCTAGATATTAACCGACAGCAAGTTGTTCCTGTGAGACCTGAAAATCTGGCCAAGAAAATCACGACCAGGGGCAGCTGCCATAGCTGTCCCGATCTGTCCACGCTACAGATATCATCCCTGCCACACCCCTCCAACGGCACGAGCGACGACCCATCGGACGGTAACGCGGGGCAGATTATTACAGCACCACCCTCCCGCTCCCCTTCTCCAGATACTCTCAGTTTCCGCAGCGGCACTCGAAAGCTTGCTTCAACTCGAAAGCGGGTCTCGAAGAAGGCGCGCGGCGTCCTAGGCAAGGTTCGAGCCTTCCAAAGGATCGCTGCGGCCAAGATGGCGCATCCCACCATCAAGATCGATACGAGTGTCCAGGCGACTAAGCGTGCTCTACCGGAAGATACTGAAGGTGGTTTCGACGTTGTGTCCGGTTCCGAGTTAGATGATCCCGGCCTGGAAGCTGGTGATAATGAACTCGTTCCCCCGTTTCTGTGCCAATCTGCCATCGGTCAGTATGCGCCCGTCGGATGACAACTTCGGTTGCCGATCGCTGCACAAGACGTTATTGTCCTGAAGTGTCGCAGAGTCACTGACGCTTCATTATTATCCTAGAGATACACCAGAAATTTGAGGAATTGGAATGGCTACAACGGGCGCGCTTCGCCGAGGGGATGCTGTCGAATGACCCCGCCCACCGTTGGGCTTTGGAGGCGGATCCCGAGGTCAGGGCTCGAAACCGATATATGAACGTGCAGGCATGGGCAAACTCGCGCATCCATCTCAGGGTGCCGGAAGGCGAATGCGATTTCATCAATGCATCGCCCATCGTCCTTACTGATTCAGTGTCTCAGGAGGAGAGGAGGTACATTGCAACACAGGTATGTGGGCATCCGTATGTCATGGCGGGCCTATCGACCCACTAATTCTTGTGTGTGAAAAGGGACCGAAAGTAGGCCACCTTGCTCATTTCTGGCACATGGTATTCCACGAAAGCAAGGATGTTGCTGTCATCGTCATGCTCACGCAGACGGTCGAGTTGGGCCGCGAGAAATGCGCACAATACTTTCCTCTAGACCATGACCGGCCTTCCATGATTCTGCGGCGCGACGAGGATGACCCTTTCGAACACAACGAGGAGTACGAAGAAGCGAATGACAACATAATGGGCGAAGTCACTCTATTGGAATCGAGCTTTGACCAACACTCTCGCTCTGAGGTTCGCAAACTGCGACTCACCTTGGCCAACGAGTCAAAGATTGTCTGGCATTTCCTTTTTGCTGGCTGGGCGGATTACTCTAAGCCAGAAGGCGAGGACCGCGAAGCGCTGCTTCGCTTGATTGAGCTCTCTGCGTCCAAATGTTCATCGGATAACCCACGGATCGTGCATTGCAGCGCTGGTGTTGGTCGCACCGGCACTTTCATTGCATTAGACCATCTTTTGCGGGAACTCGAATCGGGGCAGCTGCTCAAGGTGACCGACCCGCAAACCGATCCTGTTTTTGAAACAGTCAACCGAATGCGAGAACAGCGGATGATGATGGTCTATAACGAAATGCAACTGCAGTTCATCTATGAAGTGCTCCGCGAGCAGGTCGACCTTAAACTTGGCAAGACGACGAGCTACGCAGGGCGGAGATTAGATGAGAGATCTGCGAAGATGGCCAAGCTATCGAACAGTTCCGAGTATCTACCTTCCCATAAACCTGAGCTGGAGCCAGTCACTGATAGTCCCTCGCCATGAGGAGCTGGCCTGGAACGCCAGGAAACTCTGAGCATGAATGAAGCACTCCGATTACACATACCCACGTTTCGATTCTGCGTACATACACCCCTTGCCTTCAGATACAATCCACCTGTCTTACGTTGACGACTTATCATGATTTTTCCCTGGCCTGCATTGCGTCTATTCGTCACTATCGCACATTATCGCATACCGGATCATGTTTGACTACTTCATTGATTACTGACTCCCGTGCGTTTGCTCGTGGTCTCAAAGTCGTTCTTCCTCTCCCTGGTCGGAACTTCCCAGCAATAGAATTGGTGTAACATAAACTTTCTGAATATGGTTACGAGGAATATAATATCCAATGCATGTTTCTTTAAGAGTCGTTGTATCGACTGGATTGCCTGTCAAGGAGTGAAGGGTAGGTTAGGCTCGCGGAAACCCATGTGCATGTAGACCGCAAGTCACCTGAAAGATCCCATTCAGCAAGACAAAAAGTTGATTTATAGGTTCTCGCTGAGTACATGCGACGCCATAAATTCCAAGCAGAATTTCCCGAAGTAGAGGGTGGTATATAAGCACGAGAAAAAGGACGATATAAATGTACAGCGTCAGCCCAGAGATTCACAACATAGCCATAAATATCATAAACAAGGATTTCTTTTCCACAGAGGCAGTCGTTAAGGTAGACGGAGGCATATAGACATGACAATGGATGGGGCTCATCAGCGATGAGCGACCTGTAAATGCACACGTCGGTGGTGCTTTTTCTAATCTGCCCAGCGCAACGGGCAAGACCTTACGACTCAAAAACAAACCGCAAGCCGAATCAATCAGTCCGTTTCGCGCCCTCGTCGTTAACAGGCGAGACCTTGGACTCCGGACCCCGCCCCGGAGCAGCAGCGGAATACTCATCCGCCCCCTCCTCCGTATCCCAGGTGTCCGCCGCATTCTCATCCCAATTGTCGACCTCCTGCTCCAGCGACATCACGCCCGATTCCTGCGGCCCGAGGCCACTCTCCGAACCGCCAGCGCCGCCTAGCTCGACGTCATCCCCGCGCTCGTCGCCCAGCGCCCCGAAGCGGGCCTTGCGCCGCCGCTCTAGCATCCGCCGGTGGTACCAGCTGCATAGGCCGACGGCGCCGAGGCTGCCGACGAGGTTGGCGAGGATGTCGAAGGGGTCGAATGGGCGGTCGTTGGGGAGGATGGCTTGGACGATCTCGGAGCCGATGCCGAGGGCAAGGGTGCAGATGAGCAAGGTCAATTGCAGAGAGCGGCGGCGGGTGGTATCCGGGATCCAGTAGAAGACGAGGGAGAGGAAGAAGAAGGTGACGACGTGCAGGAATTTGTCGTTTGGTTGGAGATTTGATGGGATTGAGGAGGAGGTGCTGTGAGGGAGCAGGCCGATGTAGGCTGCGAGGATTAGGAGGAAGAGAAAGGCACCTGTGTGTCGTTAGTTAGGTCGCTGTGTTGTATTGTCCGGAAAGAGTAAGTGATGCCTGAAGCTATAGGTGCAACACTTGGACTTCGAACTTACCTGCGAAGGGGTAGCGGATTCGCATGGTGAAAGGAGAACTGAAGGTTTAAGGACCTCGAAGCTATCTTGGAGGAGCTGTCGGCAATTAATTAAATGAAAGGAAACGGTGATGTCTCGCTGCTGCTAGTCTACTGATTGATTACTGGCGACCTTCCGGGTTCGTCATGTGCTGCTGCATCTGGATGGGTTGCTGCATTATAGTCCTGAGGCGCAAATAATGGAGAATATCATCACTCGAGGTTGACAACAGAAGAGAAGATACTGTTGACAGAAGCCATACTGACAATCATATTCGTCCTATTGTCTTTTTTCCTTTCTACAAATAATTCACTAGAGAGATTGCTCGTGATGATCGTCTGCTGCCTCCAACCTCGAACTGCGCAATTGGTCTGAAACTGCGGCAGCCTTTCCGCCTTCACGTTCAACCTCACCTCATCCGTTCGCGCAGAGATCCTCATACAGAAGTGTCCATCTTCGCCATCAATTTTCATCCCCCGCGCCATCGGTTTTGGACCGGGAAGAATCTTCCTGTGACTTTTCTCGGTTGGGCCTTTCTCTCTATGTCTTTTTTTCCCTGTCGACCCCCACTGTTCTTTCCCTCCTGGACCTGTTCCTAAACGTGGAGAAACGAGCCCCCTCGCCCGCCCCAGAACCGGGGTTTTGGAGCGAGCATGTCGCTCGGTCACCACCACACCTGGCAGCCACCAGGACGTCTCCGGCACGCCGACGATCCCAATGACTTGCGGTCTGTCAATGGCTACTCTAAATCTTTTTCCGGGCTCAAGACGCCGCAAATGCGCGCCTCTGCCGGGGCCGATGGCGCTCACGCGGGTACTTTGATATCGGAGTCTGATACCGCGGCCGATGAAGATCCACGCATTGCCACCTTTCGCGATTTGTACAAGCGCAGCGAGGCGAAAATAAACGCCTTGTTTGCGAAACAACATACCGCAGAAGAGGACCTCGGCGCTGCTGACATTGAGACGGAGGAACACGAGTCCCAAATCAACCGCGCCGACGAACCGGTGTCGCTCCCCGTCGCGCCTAAGAAACCGGCGAGAAAATTGGACGATGATGATTATGACGAATATGACGACGACGATGAGGAGGAGGAGGAGGAGGAGGAGGAGGAGGAGGCTGAGGCTCCCACCCCGCCCAAATCCAAGTCATCTGTTCCGTCCCATGACCCTAGCGGTGTCCCGTCTCCGAAGCATCTTCCGAGCACCGCTGCATCGGTTGCGGCCGATAACCCCAAGGAAGTGAAGAAGGAGACACTTGAGGACATCCGGAAGAAGCTGGAGGAGGACAAGAAAGCCACCGAGGAAGCGGCGCGGAAAAGTTTCCACACCATGTTCCACACGTTAGAGAACGACAGGGATGCTATGCTGGACCAACAGCGTCTAGAAGAATCCGAGAGGCAAGTAGAAGCTGAAATGTCAAGTCAAGCCAATGCGGGCAGCACCAATGCGAACGCGAGCACGGACGGTTACGGCTCCCTCAGTAATGCCAACTTGGGCGCTTCGAGTCTGACCTTGAAGAACCTCATTGCGCGCATCGACATGAAGCGCAACATGGTCCAAGCGTCGGACGCCGAACTTCGAAGCTTGATGAGCGAAGTCCGCAAGAATCGAAGCAAATGGGCCAGTGAAGACAAGATTGGCCAGGAGGAGCTCTACGAAGCTGCCGAGAAGGTGTTGAGCGAGCTCAAGGCTATGACAGAGCATTCATCCGCTTTCTTGACTCGTGTTAACAAGCGAGATGCTCCGGATTATTATACCAGTAAGGGACCATCCTCTTCTCTACACGCGAACCTGTAGTAGTATGAAGTAACAGTTGTACTGATCTCCGTCGCAGTCATCAAACACCCGATGGATCTGGGGACAATGACAAAGAAACTCAAGGCGCTTCAGTACAAATCGAAACAGGAGTTTGTCGATGACCTCAACCTCATCTGGTCCAACTGTTTCAAGTACAACACGAATCCAGAGCATTTCCTGCGCAAGCACGCCATGTACATGAAGAAGGAGACCGAAAAGCTGGTTCCCCTCATACCGGATATCGTCATCAGAGATCGCGCTGAAGTCGAGGCGGAGGAACGAAGGATGCAGCTTGCGGAGCTTGACGGCGCCGAGGAAAGTGACGACGAACCTATAATGTCGTCGAGAGGCAGGAAAGCACCCGGGAAGTCGGCCGCAAAGAAGGGCACCGCTCCGGCTCGGGATACTCCAAGCGCATCGGAACCTCCAGCTTCTCAGCCGCCCGCGCCTGTACGTTCGGATTCCGATGTTGCCATGGAGGGTGCTCCGAATGGATTCGCGACGCCACCTCCGAGAACCCAAACACCTTCTGACCCTGCCGGCGCCGGAACGGGGCTACAGGGTGTCCACGGCGACTCGATGGAGATCGACGGTTTACCAACTCCAAGCAATGCACTGAGCGCTCTAAACACACCGGGCATAGAGATTGAGGATCCTGAATACAAAGTCTGGAAGCAGGTCACAAAGAAGGACCGAGCTGTCATTGCTGCGGAGCGCCATCGCCTTTTCAAGGGTGACAAGCTCAACTCGGACGAACCGGCCTTGCTTAGGACAAAGCATGGAATGAGAAGATGGTTGAAAAACCAGAAACAGGCCATTGCAGAAGGCGATCACGCCCGCGATGCAAACTCGCAGGCCATGGAGGCCGATGCTGCTGGGGAGACCTTGGCCGAGGGCATTGCAGGTGACGAGGAAAGGGTCATTCCCGATTACTACGACGTCATGTCTGGTGTTCCTGATCTCCCCGAACAGTTGCTGTGGAGAGAAGATACCGATGGCAATGTCATTGATGCATCAGAGGAGTTTCTGAGGATTCTGCCAAAGGGACTATTTGTTCAGCCGGATAGCAAGCTCTCTCGAAAAATGGATGCAAACATGCGGCAAATGCAAGAAACACGAAAGATCTGCTCGAAAATTGGGATTGTTAAGCAGATGCAACTGCAAGCTCAGGTAAGTCTCGGTTCTTTGCTTGGTAGCTAGGAACCTCCTAATCTGTCTCAGATGTATCAAAATCAATTCCAGAAGTACAATCCAGAACCCTTTGTTGAGGCAGATGTCCCTCCTCATGTCATGAATGACGAGGGGCCAGTGGTGGCTCCTTGGGTCTGCAAAGCTGCTCTGCAGCGCTCAGTTGCCAAGATCTTTTATCATAACGGGTTTGAGGAGTGCCAGCCGTCAGCTCTGGACGTAGTGACTGATATTGCTTCGGACTTCTTCTTGAAGATTGGCGAGACCATGAAATCCTACATGGAAGCTCCGAAAGTCCCTCCTACTGAAACCTCGTCCTCGACTTCACAGTGGAAGCGGGCCTATACTGAACCGGAGATCGTCTTACACACTCTCTCTTCGGTTGGAACAGACGTGGAGTCCCTCGAGTCCTACATCAAAGATGATGTCGAACGACTTGGAACAAAATTGGCCACTGTGCATGAGCGCATGCGGTCCCTGCTTTCGGAACTCTTGCGTCCTGCCCTTGCGGACGGCGGTGAAGATGGCTCGAAGGCATTTGCAGATGGAAGTGAGCAGTTCATCGGCGGTGATTTCGCTGAGGACATCGACGAAGACTTTTTCGGATTTAAGGAGTTGGGGCTGGATAGAGAATTTGGCCTGGCAACGCTCAGCGTTCCCCTTCATCTTCTTCAAAACAGGATGTACAATGCCGCTCAGGCCCAGAACCCAAGGTATGTCACTTTTTTATTGTACTTTGACTGCGAACACTGGAGCTAATCTTCTAAAAGCGCTGCTCAAGCCGTCACACTCTTCCCACCTCCACCTCCCTACCCGCGTGTCACATCAGAATCAGTGTCCAAGCAGATCGGTCTGGTGCAGGAATTCTTCCGTGCCAAGCTACAGGCAAGCAACAACGAGCCCCTTGTGGAGGATCTCGAGCTTCCGCCCAAGCAGAGACCAATGGCTGCGCGACCGCGCCTTCCGGCATCTGGCAAAATCCCTCCCCCTTCTGGCCAACACGGCCTTACTACCAGTCCGCAGAAACGGCCACTCCCGCCGTCCGCTCCCGGGCAGTCAGCTGTGCCCAGGCCCTCTTTCTCGGAGCCTAGCAAGAAAAAGGTCAAGAAGAATAGCGGGTCGGCAGGCATCCCAGGATCTACTGCCGAGGGCGGCGAAGCTGCAACGGGTATGGACGGTGCGCTACCTACTAATCCGGCCATGAAGAATCTGAAGGCCGAAGATGCAGCAGGAGATGAGACCGCGGTTTCGACAACCGAAGTCAGCGCTAAGAACGGACTTGACAGCTCCGCTGTGTCGGATGCCGTCGGTGGTGAAAACAGTGCTCCCACCAACACTGCAAATCCCGGCCAGAGCAAGAATAACGACAGTACTGTACCCTTGGCGAATGGAGCTGCGGGCGATGCGTCATGATTTATGACTGTGATGCCGGACCGGGTTGACTTTCATTGAGGATATTCAGGTGCTTCCGGACGCCTTGGAGAAGACTTCTTGTGTATTGTAACTTTATCATTATTACTATCTTTATACCTGGCCTTTCTTTCTCAACAAATGTTTTCTTACCCTTTTCCTCTTTTTTCAACGATTCATCCCTCTGAGTACCAGCGCCCTCTTGAACATAAAATCAGCTTTGTACAAACGCCTTGAAGCTTTTCTCCGCAATTAGACCAGACAGCGGACGCCTCAATGCACTTACACTGCTGTCCCTTCCCTTGTCTGCAATCTAACTAAATTTGATCATCACACCGTCAACCCAAACAAGAGAACATAGAATATCCCAGCTCCAGTGGTATACACCTCAGTCTTTCGCTTCTCTCCATCCCATCTTCCCGATCCCATAATGATCACTCGAGACTCGCATGACCAGCACCAACTCTACTCCTCCGACAACACATCGTCTGAAAACACGATTGTCTCTTTGTCTGCACTTTCTTCTTCTTTTCTTCCTCGTTTTGTTCGCCTGCCCGGCTTTTGTCGGAGTTTTGTTGGCTTATTGTATCGATTCTTGACAGTCATGATTCCTTTAATCGATCCGAAGTATCGCTCTACTTCTTTTTATGAGTACTGTCTATCTCCATGGTTGTATCTCTTGTTCTATGTATGATTGCCTACAAGCTAGCCGTTGGGTGCAATGATCCGGCAAGGGTATTTGGCATATTATTTGAAGGAACAGAAGAGATAAATGCACCTCTTCAACCACTACAATTTCCTAAGTCCGTATGGCCCCTGTCTCAGCATAACTTCAACCCATTCCGCCGAAGCTGTAGGAGTTCGTGGCATCAGCCAGGCCGATAAGCAAGTAAGACAATTTACGAAGCAAACTACGCGCACATCCTTACCGCGAGGCCATTATACGGATATCTAGAGAAGTCTTACGAAGCTGAGGCATGTCCAAGGTAATATGACTTCTAATCTACGGTTGTTAGGGCCATTGGATCAGGATTAAAACAGTAAAATGATTCCCATTAGGTAAAATTCTGGCCAGCAACGGCCATCTCGTCAGGTCCATCCGTCTCGCCGGAGTGAGTCAGTCGGTCCCAACTGGATCAGCTATCACTGGCCCGAATTCCGAGTGTAACTCCGTAGCTAATAAATCGCAAAACTAAATCACAAAAGCACAAAGTTGCAACGGGGGAACCAACCAAGCAAGTTGTCAGATTTGGCTGAGAACGAGTCGTGACTGCTGTGCCAATCTCAGATGTACCACATTCCGAAAGGCAGACGGTTAGAGGTACCATGAATGGGCAGAAGACGGGGATCGACGGGGCGGTCCTTCGGCTTGGGGTTCGTCATCTTCACCTCAGGACCGCTCTGAGGACCAGAGCTAGCCGGGACATCCTCATGGTGCCGTGCTCGAGTCGCAATGAGATGAGCATAGTAGACAGCGGGGACTATAATTTGTAATACGTTAGCAAAGTCAATGTCATGCAGCAGGAGAAGCGAGCGAGTCAGAGCAACTTACAGAGAGACACCGAAGTTGTGGAGCGCATGTATTGGTAACAGTGGTCGTAGATCATATTCTCGAGCTCTTGGGCCTTGTGCTTGATCTGGTCCAGAATCACATGGTAGTGCACAGGACGAGAAGTTCCCTGGAGCGCGATGTGCGAGTAAAGAAGGAAGTCCCAGTCGTGAGGGCTAGTAACATCTCTAGTAATCAGAGTGCCAGGAAGGGGGTTGCCATTGCGGTCCGCGGAGTTGCGGTCGCCAGGACGCGGGAAGGCACGCAGGTGATGACGTTTGTTCGCGACGATAACAGTAAACTTCCCCTTGAACTGATCTTGGGTCAGCTTCATGAAGATGGCCTTCATATCAAAGACCTCCTGCTGAAGGACCTGTTCGAATTGTCCGGTGGAGACTCCATCTCGGAAGTAGTAGACGTGCTCCGGAGCTCTGCCTTCTCCAACAGTGGCCATCCATTCACGAATCAGGGGAGTCAAAATAACCTCAATGTTGGAAGTAGCAATGATTTCAAGGCGATCTCCATTCGCCTCGCAGGCTCCCCAGTAGCGGCCACCGAAAGCGTCCATGCAGACAGACATTGCCGCCATGGAAGGCGACCAGACACCCAGAGGAGAGTGAGTCACATCAGCACCGATGATCATGGAGCGAGGACGCAAAGTTGCGTCAGTAACCTTGGGCACAGCACGAGCAGTGGTGCCACCAAGCTTGGCATTGACCTTCATCAAGACATTAGAGGCGTACTGAGGGTTAAGCTTGACACAGTGACCGGACTGCAAGACTTGAGAGGGCACACCCCAGCGGCAGTCGCAAGACTTCTTGATCCGTGTGTAGGTAAAGGAGTTCTTGTCCGGAACAATGATCAAGAGAAGCTGGGGATCTTTCTGAAAACTTTGACCAGTCGTGTTGTAGAGACGCTTAATAGCTTCGCCAATGTCCTCACGAAGCTCAAGGATGTGGGGCTTGTTTTTGATCATACCGCCATGCCCGGCGTATGTCTTCATGAGCAAGTCACAGAACTGCTGAACCTGGGTTTGGTTGATAGCGTTTCGCTTTCCAGGGAAGAACCCCACACCCCACGCTTCTAGGGGTCTCTTGTTTGGCTGGTAGAATTTCTTGCCACGCAGATCCCAACGACCGTTGGTGCCAGGAGACAGGCGCTGGTTTCCGCCAAACTGAATGTCGGGGCTGGGCAAGAGACGAGCCTTGGTGCGAATCATGTTGCTGTCGATTGCAACGCCGAAAGTGTTGAGGACCGGGTCTTTTGCATGGTCAAGCATAGCCTTCGACTTGTGGATGGAATTGAGACGATCCGCCGGACGGGATGCGGCATACTTGATCATAGCTGAAGTCTGATACTCATTCAGCTTCCATGGGTAGCGGTGGAGTCCGTGGATGGTCAAGACTTCCATAGGGTAGACAACGCCTTTCTTGGTCATCTCAACCATAGGAAGCTCCCAGTAGTTCAAGGTGAGATTATACTTCTTCTTGAAGTAGGCCTCCACGCTCATCTTCTGGGTTTTCCCGGTGGCTTTGTCCTTGATTTCAATGGTGTACTGGCGGGCGTTTGCGTTCAGCAAGCCCTTGACGATGAAATCGACACCAAGGCAAGGACAGCCTTTGTAATGCGGCTGCACCCCGAGCTTGCGAAGGCGACGGTGAACCTCGTAAAAGCCAGTCGACTCAGTAACACCACCATGACCGTCGGCAACAGGCTTGAGAAGGTGCATCAGGTGCTGATGGTCCCGGCAATCGAGAACCGCCATAGCGGCGCCCATGAAAGAGGTCCGCGCCCAGAAGCAGGAGTTGGACACATCGACATTGACAATGAGACCACGGCCCTAATGCAACAGTTAGTCAAGATATTGATTAGCTCAACAAGAGAGTCCTGCTTACCAGTGCAGGACGGATCGCCTGGTAGACACCCTTGAAGGCAATGACGCCGTTTCCGAGATCTTGGTTTTCTCCGTTGGGGTCGAAGAAAGAGCGGCGAATGGCGAGGAACTTGCCGCTTGGATGCTCGCGAAGGACATGATCGAGGAAGTCTGTGGCTATTAGTCACTGAAACTGAACACGCTGAAGCTCAAGCAAACGGTGTACTTACTCATAGCCTCAAGGACCGCCTCCGACATAGAGGTGCGCCCAGTAAGCCAGGAGTTCAGAACAGCCAGGTTGACGGTCTTCGTGGGACGAACAGTCAACCGAAAAGTGTTGCTGGTCCTACCAGCAGGCCGGCCCTGTTCCACATCGAGGTCGACAACGACGTTCAAACCGTTGGGGTAGTTATTCATGGACCTGTGTATGTTAATCAGCGATTGCTCGAAGGACAGGTTGGTATTAGCACATACCAGGCAAGCTTCTGACCATCGAAGACGATCTGCTTCAGGGCGGCCTTGCGAGCATTGCAATTCCAAACTTTCTTTATGACCGCATTCTTCTCAACGCCGTTTCCAATTTGAACCTTTGCCTTTGTTAGCAAGGTGCTGCTCCAATGATTGTCTTGTTCGTTCGATTGCAGGAAATACTTACGTCGTACTGGTAGACATTACGAGTAGGAAATTTGGTGATGGGATAGGCGTTCATAAGAACTTCGATCTCCTTTCCAGTCTGATTGTGGTTGGGACGGGCAACGGTCTCGACAGGAACAGAGTACTTGGCAACTTCGTCAGCATTCTGGATACGAAGATGGCGAAGGCCGCCTTCAAGTTTGTTCATGTACTCGAAGTCCTCCATGATGAAGATGGTAATGAAATGAAGCAAGTGTTGTGAGCAAAGAAACGGGTGAAATAGTGCCGTGAGTCAAAGACAAGAGTCTGCGTTTGCATGAGAGGGAAAGAAGAAGGCACAGCAGGGGAGAAGAAGGGGTTTATATAGCTTTGCCGTCGCCATGAGAGGAAGCTGACATGGCATAGATGATGTGAATGTGAAAAAGGACTCCAAGATTGAATATCGGCTTCCTACATCAATGGGAAGCTTGTAGCCGGTGAATTGATGCAATGGATGCATTGGGTCGTTTGATAGACAAGAAGTGTGAATGGGCAGAGCTTGAAGTGGGCAGCGAAGGAAGACCATGTAAAAAAAGCATCAATTGCATGAGGTGGTAGTGAATAAAAAGAATGGACCAGTGAAAGAGACAGGGGAAACAGGGTATTGAAGGACGGCAGCAACAGATAATTGCATCAACCTCCCGTGGACAATAGGATTGTTCTCAAAGGTATGACCCGGCGGCAACACAAACGCCATTCGCGGAGGAATCATTTTTGTCTTTTTGCAAGATCCAACTCGAGAATCGACTTACCAAGTGGTTGATTTGGAATGCACCCATTGTCAAGTCAAGATTCTTGCACATGTCCGTGACGAGCTTTGGACGATCCAAAGCAGGATCCCCAATGTGACCGCGTCCTGGCGCAGCCATTGTTGCTACTGATCGGGTATTTCGCTAAGAGCCGTTTGCTTTCTGTTTTTTGCCCGATTGTTAGACTGACTCGGATACAGATTTTAATCGCAGGATCGAACGCAAAGGACAGCCGGACATTGGAAAACTGAAGAACACCAGCCATGCAAGCCGATTGTCTCGACGGACAACCTATGCTCCAGGGAAAGGTCAGGACTAAATATCAGCCTACTGCTTCTTTGAGAAACAGAGGGGAGAAATGTCCGAGGATACACGAAAGTGGCTCCGATGCTACTGATGAAGGTCGGCTATTGCGTCGATTGGGAGTACATACCTGGATAGACCGGACGGACAGAGCAAGCCGCAAAGTCGAAGAGAGAGTCGGCTTGAAGACGACGTGTAGGTCTTGTTGAGAACAGGGACGAGGGGATGATCAGCGTATTTCCAGGAGCCACGTCAGTCAAAAGGGTAATCTGGTCAAGTAGCAGTCTGCGAATGAGGAGGATGATGATGATGATGTGGGAGCGGTAAAGACAAGGGAGAAGGTAGACGGATGTCTCAAGGAAGACGACAAGTAGGATGCAGAGACAGCACAGCAGGTAAAGAGTAAGACTAGCAGGGGAGGTATGGATGGTATGGAAGGAGGAAGGAAGGAAGAGGGAGAGGAGAGAAGAAGGATGCTTAAATAGGCAGGAGGGAAGCACTGGCTCGTGACGCGATAGCTGGGATATCTGTAAGTGAGCGAGCCGGGGCAGGAAGATGAAGCTTGATGTGAGCAAGATGGCGAGGTGAGAGAGATGGGGATGCTGATCGAAGATGACAGGTAGCGAGGTGATATGTGAGATGATATGTGAGGTAATATGTAAGGCAGCAGATAGGTAAGAGTTGAGCAGAGAGAGAAGGACGGAGTGATCAGAGAGTGTTTTTGTTGACGACACGCTCACCAGGAGAGGAAGGCACACGTTCTGGTCTGTTTGAAGAGTTTGTTGATGTGTTATTCGCCATGGGTAACAGCACCTGGTGAATTGGGCAGGTTCTAGTGAGGTGCTGGTGAGGTGCTGATGGTGGTGGTAGTGCAATGAGAGGGCTCTGCACAAAAGCAGCGAGCTGAGGTCGATATGATAAGGATAAAAGGTAAGATGTAAGTGTTTTCTGATCATAGAGGAAACTGAGAGATGTGGTTTCTGGAAGGAATGGAGAACAGAATGAAACACCTCTGCTATTTCTACACGGCCACTTCAGAAATGCTCTTTTGTTTTGTGGTGTTAACCAATGCCGGTTTGAGAATGTCCTCAATATACGATATGAGTCTCAGTTTGTGACCCTAAGACGCCCCTTTCTCTTTATATACCTACAAAGCCTCAGAACGTCCCGAACTCGTTGCAGAGCATCCCGAAAGTGTGGGTTGATATTATATGCGGGGGTTGGGTATCTTGGAGGCATTCCCTGCACGAGTCTCACAAATCTAATTCGAAGACCAATCGAGTCAAGGCTGAGCTTACAGGAGGTGGACAGGATCATGTCTCTCGTAGAATACTGGCCTTGAGAGGCCAAAAGGAGGCGCAGTCGGGGAAATCATGGTTTGCGGTGTTACGAGGGAGGGACATCCGAGGCCATTCCGTACATCAAGAGTCGCTGATTCCTAATTCAGGCGGAAGACGGGCCTTCACGGCTTAAAGGCACAGGCTAAGGGCGTTCAGCCAACCGAGTGGATTGTTGTAGAAACATGAAGGAATGGACCCAAAAGATTAATGGTGTATAAGAAGGAGAAACAGAACAATATGATTTAGCATTATGGTATTGACACTGACCCTCAGGAAGAGACATGAACACAACTTGGTAAACTCGAGAATCGATTGAGGGCTGATGCAAGCAGTAAAAGAAAGGATTATCTGATCATCAGGGACTCCATGTGTCATTAGTAGTATGCCATGTCTTCAACAACTGTACAATCCAAACCTGATCCGAAGATGCAATCAACCAAGAGAAACCCGAAGACTTCTCAGCCACCAAAGATGTTTCATATGAGGTTTGTGGTCGAAGCTATAACGACGTCTCGTCAAACAGTTCGAGAGAAGTCTGTGGGTATGGTAGCTTTGGGCGCAAAGACGATTCACTCAAGGCGAGTCTCGAATTCAGAGGCTGTCTTCAAGGCTCTTCCATCTCGAAGGGGGAACAGCCGAGAAGACGAATACTACCGGTACATCCCTGGAAGATCAATGCTGTTAGCTATCCAAACAGAGCGACTAGTAGACAGCTCGAAAGAAAAGAGAAGGAGAAGCCTTACCAGAAAATGGTTGCATTGGAGTCTGTGTAGTCCCGAGGCCCTGAGCTGACTGCGGAAGAGGAATTTGGGAAATGGAGCTCGGCATCTCGATTCTACGAATGAGATCGACCAATTTCTCAGGGGAGAATCTACCGGCCGTGTACGCGGAGGCTGGAGGGATGATGCTCAGGAGATGAACAATATCGCGAGGTAATGGAGCTGGTGAGCCTTGAGATCTGAATTGCGACCCAGTCTGGACATTGCTGAGTTGTGACCGCTTTTGCTGATCCAGTTGTCGCCGCTGAGTGGTCTTTAAAGGTGATTCAGCCCTCACAAACTTGCGGGGCCGGTTGTAGTCGTCGTCAAAGTCCTCCAGTGGTCGTTTAGGAGAGTCTGTGACAGAGCCTGGGTATCTCGGCGTGGGCGTACCATGCCGGGACATCGGTTGCTCTGTTGTAGGGAAGGCTGCCTTTGGTCGCATCTGAGACGGCGATATAATCGGCCGAACAGCGGTAGGGTCGAAAGTAGGAGCCGAATAACGGTGAGCAAATTGTTCCAATGTAGGATCTTCAGGAAACAATTCACGCATCCGATTTTCGAGGTTGATCACCTGAACCAGGTCGCCATATCTGGATTCGTACTCATGAAGAAACGCGAATATTGGCTTGGTTTTATGAACGTTCTCAGGGTTAGACGCCAACTTCCTGACCGTCATCTCGAACACTGCTCTCGCATCTGGGAGACGGTTAGAAATCGGATTACATTAGGAACACTGCAGTAACTTACTGATAACGTCGTTGATATCAATCAAATGCTTCAAGTATTCGAGTGCAAAATTCTCATCGTCCGGGAAGAGCTTAGCACCACGCTCAAAAATCTTTGTGGCCGCAGGGTCCTTATAGCAGTGGTACTCAATGAGGGCGCTGGCAATGTAGACGTCGCTAGTAATGCGACCTCTCTTGCGCGCATCGGCGAACACTTGTCGGGAGCCAGGCGTCTCCCCCGGTTTTCCTTTGCCCTGGATACGGCGCATGGCACGCATGAGGGCAATCCAGGCGAAAGAGATTGTCTTAGAAAGAATGCCGATTTGTATGGCATGTGCTTTGCGAACAGCATCGATCTGCGCATTTTTGACTGATTCTCTTGCTTTTGATTCACTTTGATCGTCATCGTCGTCATCAGTTTTGGCAGGTGGATTGTCGGCGTTCATTTTTGCAAAAGTCTCTTCAAGGCGTGCGACGTCTTGAGCTTCTCTCGTACGTGCTTTCGCAATCAAATCGTACAAAGCATCGAGTAATTTATCGTAGGGTTCCCGAACCTTCGCACCTCGTTTGATGGGATCTTGCTCAGACTCCGATGTAATTTCCAGTCGGTCCGCACGCTTGAAGGCAACAAGACAACTTTCAGGGTTAGCTTCCATGCCCTGCTTGAGGAACTCGTTTCCTTCATTCTCCAGATCATTCAGAAAACAGAACTCGGCCGCATCAAACCACATTTCTGGCAAAAATCTCAGGGCCATGAGAGCTTGTTTGTAGACATAAACAACGCGGCCCTTGAAAGCAGCAGGGTCTTCTTCTTTCAACACAAGTGGATCTCCCTTTTCCCACTTGATCCAACGCTTCCAAATATCAACCTGTTGAGTGAATTCAATATCACCATCAGAACCCGGCACAGGAGGCAATCTAGGCAACGTTGTGCGGATTAGATCCCTTGTGATATTTTGCAGCTCCGTATATGAGCTACGAGCGGTCATATACGCTGGTGACTGCTCTTGAAGGAATTTACGACCCTATAATGGGAAGATATTAGAAAGTGCAGAACCTTCGCAGAATCGCTCGAACTTACTGTAAGTTTATTCAGACCCATCTCGAACTGGTCATACTCTTTCCAGAGAGTATTAACAGCTTGAGTTGGAACGCAAATAGCTTTCTGATATGCCTTCCGTAACAGGTCCATCTTCTGCTGGTCTTGCCAACCAGAACCACCGACATTGCCTGGCCCGACTTAATGAACTGAACGTAATCCGACCAGATTGAACCCGAATCCTTGTCTACGCCGACGTGCTGAAACGCCAATTCATAGGCAGACGAGATAATCCTCCTCGCTTGTCCAGTTGTGTCCGTCGTCAAGGGATTGCGTCTGCGGACGTAATCCAGGTATACCGACCACAGCTGGACATCCGGGATGGTTAGAAGGGTTCGATTGAAGATTTGCTCAAGCCGATAAAGATCGTTGAGTTCGGATTCCATCTTCGCATACGCCACCCATTGTTCGGCCTGAGATCGGTCAGCTTTCTCTCAATGATGCTGAGGTGACTTGAGCGTACTCACAGCAAAGGGGAAAACCTTCAAAAATCGTTCAAAGACATCACGCGCGCTGTCAATTCTATTGCGGCTTCTGTGTTCATTGATCAATTCGAGCCAGGCAGGAATGTCGCCACGAGGATCCTCTTGAATTCGGTCTTCCAAGATGCCCACTCGATCGTGAGGCAAGCGACCTTTCGGGGTCGAAGGAGAATCCGGCGTAGGAGTAGCCGCCGCGCTGTCTTGCACATTTCCGGACTGTAAAGCATGTGAGTTGTACAAACTCTGTCCAGCGGCAACAGCCACATCACTTTTAGGGGCAACAGCAGGAGCTGGAGAGTAAGAGCTATGGGAAACATTGTTCAGGCTGGCGGACTGTTGCGCAGCATCATCCAGGGATACATCAGGGGTAGAAGAAGCTTCATTTTCATTTCCTGAGACGGACTGCTGAGGCACATTCGTAGCAACAGTATTCATGTCCTCAACACCAAGTACAGCAGGGGGCTCATAATCAGCATCACCCGCATCGTCCTCGTCTTCATCCTCAACCACAAATCCTCCGATTGTCCGGGTCTTAGGCTGCACAGATGTACCGGATGTTGGTACCGTAGTCGAAGCCCTAGACTCATCTCGTGAGGGTGTCTGAGAAGGATAGGATGTACCATCCGGTTGACTAGGATCATCTTCTGGTGGAACAGAATTTTGCTCAGTAGGGTTTGGCTCTGGAGAGGCACTGGAAGAAACATTTTCACTTTGCTTGAGATCTGTCAAGGAGGAAGAATATTGGTCTTGGAGTGTTTTTGAAGGATCATAATCATCTGAGTCTGAACTATCTGCACCATGCTCTTCAACAGCTTTATAGTCCACAGATTCCGCATTCATAGCCTGAGCCTGGAAAAAGGCTTTCTCAGCATCTTCTTCAGCCATGACAGGTTACGAAGATCTCAAACGCGACAAGACAAAATGGCTGCAAACGAATGGCCTGGCCAAGCAGTGTGCGATCAGTAAGTTGACCCAGAAGATCTGCGGCAGTCGCTCACCTACATTAGATGAGAAAAATTTGAAGTAATTGACCAGGAAGAATTCAAGGACAACACCTGAAAATGCAAATGAGAGAGATCAGCGTCTGCTGACGAAAAAGGAACCGAAATGTGCAGGACAAAGAAACTCCCGCATGGGGCTGCTGGAGGTGGCTGTCGCACTGAGCTATTAGCAGAAGCTGCAGATGTCATCGCGGTGGGGTCACGTGATGGAGGCGGTGAGGCGCGACAGAGAGGAGGGACGCGAGGGCAGCGCGTCGGGGTAATTACTTACTTCTTTCGGTTGGGAGTTGCGACTTGCATGATTTATCCCCCTCGATGGAAACTGTGTTTATTATTTCTTCCCGACTTCTCCTTGTTAAATAGTTTTCACTTTTTGTACAACCATCGCCTCGTGCGTTTTCCATATCTCGTTCGTCAGAGGCCCATTATCCTCCCAAAGAAAAAGTTTCCTGAACCTCATCTAACGCTATCACATATCAATCACCATGTCCGTCGTGTCCCTCCTCGGGGTCAAGATTGTTAACAATCCCGCCCCTTTCCTCGCTCCATATCAATTCGAGATCACCTTTGAGTGCCTCGAACAGCTCCAAAAAGGTGACATACTCAAGATATTCTTTACAGCTAGGTTCAGAGTCACTAACAAACTGAGTTGCCAGACTTGGAATGGAAACTCACTTACGTCGGCTCTGCTACGTCGTAAGTCAAGGCTGTCAGGGAACAAATGTTGGTTTGCTGTTGCTGACCTGAGTAGTTCTGAATATGACCAGGAACTCGACTCTCTTCTTGTCGGACCCATCCCCGTTGGTGTCAACAAGTTCCTTTTCGAGGCCGACGCTCCGGACCTGAAGCGAATCCCCACTTCAGAAATTCTCGGCGTCACAGTGATTCTTCTCACTTGCAGCTATGATGGCAGAGAATTTGTCCGTGTTGGATACTACGTGAACAACGAATACGACTCGGAAGAGCTCACCCAGGACCCTCCTGCCAAACCGATTATTGAACGAATCCGCCGAAATATTCTTGCTGAGAAGCCGAGAGTGACCAGGTTCGCTATCAAGTGGTAAGACATTCCCCTCATTCTCATTTACAACCACCTTAACTTACTCTATCTTTTTCAGGGATTCTGAGGAGGATGCTCCAGCCGAATACCCTCCTGACCAACCCGAAGCGGATCTGGAAGACGATGGCGCTGCTTACGGCGCTGAAGAAGCCGAACTCGAGGCTGCGCTGGTCAGAGAACTCGAAGAGGCCGAAAGAGATGCCACCAAGGGCGGGGATCACGAGATGGAAGGGGCAGAGGAAACTGTTGGCAAGGAGGACGAGGAAGAAGACATCTCCGACGCGGAGAGTGAAGATATTGAGGATGAAAGTGACGATGAAGAGGATGACATCGACGAGGAAGAGGGTGGAGATCGTGATGAAGACGTAGAAATGGGCGATGACACCGAATCGAAAGATACCAACGCCGCCAGCGGGCATCATCAACAGCAGGACATCATGGTGCACTGAATACCTCGCAGTTTACCGCCCATCTTTTGGAATATCCTCATTTTGCATGATTTTACGATTGTGTTACAACGCTTACGACGACCGAAGCTATTCGCCTGGGCCATGTTCTCTAATTTTGCAGCATTTATTTACATGATATAGAAACCGCATAATTTGAGAAACCTATCACACCACATCTTTCTTAATTCGGATATCATACTCAAGCAAGGACCAAGCCAGGGATATGCACGTTCACCGTTTATAGTTATACATTCCTTTCTGCTATGGACATAGTTTCTACAGGATTGCTGTGGCCCTGGCGACACGACTGTCCCCACAGCAACTCTGTATGCAAGGTATTCGCTCTCGATGGTTGACCGTTGTCCGGATACTGAGTTGGGCGATAGACCTGTGCCAATCCTCTTCGCACCAATCCCGAAAAGCAGACCATCTCAAGCAATGGTATTCACCTTCTAGTCTGTGAACAGCAAAGCGAACTGCACTGTGAACAATTCGCTTCCCAGCTTTGGACCTAATCAGAGAGGTAATATCTGTCTCCAAACACACTCATCAGCCTCCCTTGGTGCTGAAGGAGAGAGCAACAAGTTCAGCGTTGTCGTCTAGACCTATAACAGTCACTTCACCTCAAGCATCACCGTCTAATTGAGCAGCTCAAAGATTGCAGTGCCTTGCTTGAACAGCTTCAATATCTGTCTCGAAGCATAATGAAAATTCCCGCTTGTTGGATAGCTTCAACTCAGCCTTCTTTGTAGAGAGAATATATAAAATAACCCATTGCATCCTTCTATGCTTCACTTCTGTAGATTAGAACCACACTGCTCTCTGCCTACTGATCTTGACCATCATACCAGGATAACTGCCTACAGATACTCCACGGCTGAGTATACTGCCCCAGAGAGAAAATGAGAAAACTACGCCCCAAGACAAGCAACAATCCCATTCAGACTTCAGGAAGAGTTCGACTGCAGCTCCCAATAGCCTCTGAAGCGAAAGCTACAATGCCCCGATTCTCCTGCAAGCATCGGAGCAGCAAATCACCCGAAGACCTTACTTCAAACGATGGGACATTCGCCTGTCTCTGCCGACACTGCCATCTGACGGCAGACAAGCACCGGTCGAGAAAACTGCACCGGGCGTTGATGGTGCAGCTCGGCGAACTAAATACAATCATCGATCTCGTGCAGAATAATAGATTGGATCCTGCGACGATCACGCTGGAACTGCATCGCTTGCATGCTCAGAGGAAGGAAGCCAAGGACCAATACAGACTGGATTTGGTGGCGCTGTGGAAGGAATATGAGAAGAGGTGGCGGATTAGGTACATTCCCCACGAATATTGGATCTAGGGAGTGGCGCATTGGCTTCATGAGATTGATACGTGGGCCAATATTGGATCTTTCTGAAGATCTACCGTGCTAGTATTGTGCTGAGGAAGGCTCTTGGCTTTCGCTCATCAAATATCTACAAGGCATAAGTTGAGCTTATTTGTAGTGTGTGATCATAGTCCAAACAGACGCCGTAAATTGGGTATTTAGTTGTAAGAGAAACAAAGTGTGTATAAAAGTGCGGAAACTGTCCTACTTCATGAGAGCATAACATCACAAGCCAAATTTCGACCCCAGTGCTAGTTCATTCGTTAGCAGAGTCGCGCAATACTTAAAAGGCTACGAAAACTTACCACCGAGAATCGCCTTTTTCTTCTGGTTCTGTACGTATTTATTGACGTCCCGGGCCCAGTTGCTGCTGTTTTCCTCAAGCCGATCCATACTCTCACCAGCAATGCCTAGTCGCTCCGTCCGTTCCTGGACTTGACGGGTCATGTAAGACCAATAGCCCTCTTGACTTCCTGTCGATGCCTGTGATAGATTGGATCCGGTTCTCCCTTCTCGTGCGAGTCGGCGGCGGTCTTGGTCTTCGAGTCGCATCTGTTCCTGCATTCGTTTTGATGGAGGCCGGTCTGGGCCCCCGACTGTATTGGCGAAAATGTCAGTACAGCTATCCAAATTTGTTATCGTAGCTACAATGAATGCACATACTCAGAAGATCCATGTCGGCTGGGGACACATATTGTGTGCCGGAGATCCATTGCAGATTCGTAATCGTAGGACGTGCAGGAATGGCTGCCTGTGGGTTGAAGAGTCGACTATCTGATGGTCGTCTATGATAATCGTCAGCAAGGTCATCCTTTCCGTTCAACAAACAGATGATCGAGGGAGGGAGGTCCATACAGTCCGGTGCCAGAGCCCCAAACATTGAACACGGCTACTTCCGAGGGACCCGTCCAGGTCAGAACACTACCGTTAGCGCAGATTGTTGAGTCCGAGAGGCGTCTCATGTCGGCAATTTGATGGATACTAGTGCAGCCTATTTCCTTGAGTCCAGGGATGGAGAAAGCCCTAGCATTACCATCGCCGAACAGTCCAAGGAGACTATAACCACGGCCTTCTGTCTTCACGACGGCCGCGGCATCGCAGAGATAATCATCCCAGGACTTGTGAGCTCCCTTGGATGTTGTAGGTCTAAAAATTCTGCAGCCGGAAATAGTGACAGCAATGACAACTCCGTTAACTTTGGCGCCAGTTCTGAGGCCTGCAACCATGCTTGCAGTGGCTAGCGCAGGGGTACCCTGATCCGCATCAATGGGTATGATGTTCAGGACCTTGTCATCGAGCTGAGTTACGCCGGCGAATTGACACATGTAAGTTCCATCATTTCCGGGCAGGATCTTGAAGGTTGCCAAGTTGCCTTTGTTGGTGCCTACAAAGCAGCAGATGCTTGAATAGTCTATAAACGGTCAATATCCGCTTGCACCCATAGCTCAAGACGACGACAAGTCTTACCTTCACCCTCCAAAGTCAACACACCGAACTCGATGCTTGTGGGCCACTCCGGAGCGGTGCTTTCGGTAGCGCGGTGTTTGAGAAAGCTTCCACGTTTGCTGGTCTTCGCAAAGTCGGATACCTGGGCTGTATGGATGACTGCTGGCCCACGCAAGTCCACGATGGCAAAACTGCCGTTCTGAAAACCGGCAGCAACGAAGCCCACATGGCTATGCTTCACAGCAGTGACGGGTCCCTGCTGCATATTCAGAAGGGTGAGCGGAAGCATGCCTTGTTTCAGTCCGGGATCGGCTCGGTGGGTAATCCGAGTTAACCTTCCGGCTCCTTCATTTGTGCCGGGAGGCTCCTCATGGCCGAAATTTCCATTATTGCCCCATCTAAACACCACGACCTCGCCGCTCTTCAAACCAACTGAGAGTTCGCCTGTAGACCCGCTCACAGACATTTCAGTGACTTCCACATTAGCAACACGCCCAACAGCGCGGGCCAAATCTACTTGAATGACGTCCGCGTTTTCGATCTCGTCATCATGGCCTACATCCCAGAGACGTATGGTTCCGTCCGCGTGAGCCGTGGTAATGATGTTACGATTCTCGAACCGTTTCAACGCCCTTTTGCCTTCTGCACCGCCGATCAAGAATTTCGGGCCTTGCGATCTCCGTTCCCGAAGGCCCAGCCAGGCGGAACGGTCAATAGACGTCATGGTGATTTTGGTGACAAAAGGGTGGACAAAAGAGAGGAAGGGGTGAATCATGTTCGTAGGTGTGATGGAATGACCACTGGGAAAACTTAGGGTGATGAGTTCTCCCGAAGAAAGAAGCGCAATCACAGCGATGGGGTCATGGGCGCCAGCGTAGAATGGTGAGGAGCGGGGAATGAGGCAAAAGTCGACGACTTCTGCACCAGGAGGTGCTGGAATATTCTGAACTTGCTTTGGGTTTTCAAAATAATTGGTGATCATTGGCCATGTTGACGTCTGATAGTTTGGAGTTGCTCCAAAGTCTATGAAGGTCAAACCCTTGTTACTCTCAGCCTTAGGCCGCCCACCTGCAATAAGAAGGCCGCTGTCCTCTCCGCTGGCTTTAACACACCATGCAATTTGAGTAATTGGCTCCCTGAAGATGGCTTCAGCCGTTGAAAACCGTCGGTTGGGGCTGGCGCCAGGCTCGTCGATATGTGTATTCTCCATCGTCCGGGCGAGGATCTTGCGGCCATCCTTCGAGTCCCAAAACACAAGGCCGTTGTCGTCATGAACGGTCAGAACAAAAATACCGTTAGGATGCCAGAGCGCTCTGGTCAGCTTGGGTCTGCGTGTGTCCTGGGAGGGTATCTCAGAATTGCCCCAACTGCACCAGGAGGTACTTCATATTGGAAGTATTTCTGAGCGACGTTCTGTTTGAAGGTGAATGTGACGGCTCCTTCAGGATATCCAACCAAAATCTTGCCAATATCCCGAGGTGAGAAGGCCAGAGAAAGGACTGGACACAGTCGCGCCCGCGGATTGCGTTCGGCCCAGAGATTAGGTACTCTAAACGGCGTCAAGGACTCCCGGTCCAGATCGTAGGCAATGATATCTCCTGCAAAGAGCGCTTAGCATAGACATTCATAAGAAGTGAATCATGCCCACACACCATTCTGTAGACCAATGAAGGCATAGTCCAGACTAGGGTCTGTCAATAAGGCGGTGGCATGGCTCGGGGGCGCGTACGAAACCAGCGCTTTCTGGGTCTCAAGTGAGAAAATAGTAATTTCGCTCTTCGAGTCGACACTGATCAACTTGTCGGCACAGAACTGGAGGTATTTGGCAGATGCCTTCCGCGGCAACGAAAAGACGGCGGAAACCCTGCGCTGTCCAAACACATAGATCTGCCCACTGCCGAACTGGGTGTCGCTGGTACCTACGGCCAGAAGAGACTGGACTGGATCGTATGCAAGCACACTTATTTGCGAGTTCACACCGCACCGAGCGTACTGCAAGTAGAATTGAGTCAACAGGATAGCTCAAATGGGAAAATATCGGTGCCTAGGGCAGCCAAGACATACATCATCGAGCGCGAAGAGTTCTGGTGAGAGACCATCGGAAAAGTCTTTCTGTATTCCTGTTTGCTTCCCCCGAAGGAAGTGTGCCATCTTGAAGGAGTCAAGGGCTCTGCGCACGAATACAACAATAGTGCAGAGAAGGCGGAAAGAATGACCAAGGAGTATGAACTATCCAGAAGATGATGATGCCCTCCTTCAAAGGGTGCGGAGTGGACGCGCCCCACCGAGGAGAGAAACGGCCCAATTAGGGATAGCGCAGTTTCTACCGCGGAATTTCTGATTTTCACCTGACGACATCATCTTTCTTTATTTGTTTGACTGCTGCTGCCCCACTCTTGGCTGTTATCACAGGCGGACAACAGCCTTAGAAAAGGTGAGTAAGGATCAAATGGAGCAAGACGTTATCATGGCTAGCCTAGTGCCTGTATACGCTGCTTGCTATAAAAACGGACTCTCCAATGCGAAGGAGCAAAACCACCATAGCCATCTGTGTAACATCATGAACTATGAAATGGGTTAATATAAAATGAAGACCTCTGTGTATTGTCAGTCATTCACCGCTAGAGCAGTAATGGTTTTCAAGTAAATCATATGCTTAAATTCTATGTACATGGTGTGACGGGAAGATATAGGTTCAAGGCACAGAGAGGTACCTGTTGTCCAAAACTGCAGTCTGTATTTAAGCTGGTGATGACATAGCATATAGTCTGATGTGAGTCCGTTTCGCGCAATTGCGGGCGACTAAACATCCACACGAGTCTCGACGACCTCAATTGCAGCCATTTTTGTTAATATCCTGGTTAACCGTCGTCGTGCTTCGGTTTCGGCTGCCGAGTTTCTCTCCCGATAGTATTGAATGGTGATGTTGTGAATCGAACGGTAACATGCATATCTAGAAGATGACCATTAATACTTCCACGTCTTCAACAAGAAGGACGGGGTTTCTTACAGTAATTGACGGATCAAGTCCGGCTCACAGTCGATGTCACGAGATGCAAATCCATCCAGCACGGCGGGCGACGGGTCCTCAAAGATCTCTCCCATGTAGACGTCGCCCCAGAGAGCGCTGTCAAACCCTGCAATCCCCGCCAACTGTTTCGAAACAGGATCCAGCAGCACGGCTGAGGGCCGACCAAAGTCGCATATCACCAGCCGTGGTAATGTGATCTCGTCTAAGACCGGAGACAGTCGACCGACCTGATGCCGAATCTCTGCATAGGGAAGATGGACAAAGACATCTTCCGAATCGCGAAGGATGCTTTCGAAGCGTACAAGGAAGGCTTCTCGCCATGATCTTGTCCCTGATCCCAAAGCCACCTGTTCCAGAGTTCCGAACGAGTTAGCGGTGTGTTGACCGATCATGTTCACGAGAAGCCCCAATTGCCGGTCGAGCTCTCGGCGATCTTCAGCGGTAAGCCGACTTTCCAATTCCTGTAACGTTGAGCCGTGAATATATTGACGCACGAGAAAGGCGGACCCTAGTAGGGTGTCCTGCGGGTCGTAATAGAGGAGCGAGGGGACGCATGGAACTGCACTTTGTCTTAGTAGACGAAGCACACGTGCTTCTGTTCCAAGCAGGAACTGTTCTCGCCGAAGCAAACGCGTGGTTGGCCTTGGTGAGGTTTTCAAAAGTATTCGGGCCCCATTTGATAATGTTATTAGGCGGTGGGAATGAAGATGGCCCTCCAAACATTGAACACTTCTCACGTACACCGTAGAGGGCAGAATATGCCCAAGGACGACGCTGAGTTTGTTAGGGACTTCCAATCCGATGAGTGCCAAATCTCGGACCGGAGACATAGTTGACGACTTTGGTTCTATTGATCATGAATCAGACACTGGTGTCTTTTTAAACTTGCTTGACACATTCTGAGTTCAAAGGGACCAAGATGGCCGGACGAATATTGTCTCAAGGTGACAGCTATAGGAAAAAGGTGCAAAACACGAGTGTCCAGAGAACACCTCAATGACTCTAGGATACAGAGCATGCAGATCTTTCATGACAAATCATCATTGGTTCAGTCGTGGCTCAGGCAATGCTACCAAAGCATCGAGGTCATGTTGAAACGGCACCCAAGGCCATGTTGGTTGGATGATTCACTGGGTTCCCGCTTCCACGTAACGGCAATATTACCTGAAGGACAAATCATAATCGTATGCCGTCAGGAGTCCATGGAGCAACGTCCGAAAAGGGTGCGCTGTAGACGAGACATGAAGCAAAGACCCTGACCCGCAGGCATTAACCGAGTTCCAGAGCCAAGAACTAGTGACATGGCGCCTTATCTGGACAAAGATGGACTTTCATGCCGCATGATAATACGTTGACTGTAAAGAGCGATGGGTCCTGGATGGGATGAACCAGGGTGCCTCTTCAGAGCGGTTACTCTAGTAAGTAGTGAGCTCCGCCGGAGTAGATCCACACCACAGGAGTCTTGGAGACGATCCGAGTGACAGGGTAAACTGGGTCTCGCCTAAGTCTCCCGCTCTGAGAAAGGCGCAATGTAGGCTACTATATTTGAGCCAATCAGAAGTCTGCTTTGCCGAAAAGGATAAAGCACAAGACCAGAGCGTAGTGGGAGAATGCGTAAACCTTGGAAAGAAGAAGATGGGATATTCACGCTTATTTTTTTTGAGGGCATATTTCAGATGGCGCGGTAGGTGCTTTGGCCACTGAGAAATACGGGTCCTCGGGAAATGGGCGTTCGGCCCCAGCCACTTGTTATTAAGAAAAGAAACAAGAGACCGCTCGTATTTGTTCATTTACATTGTGGACTGACAGTGTGCAACTCTCGATGATTCCTCGGTACTCCGTACAATTGTCAAAGACTATGGATCGTGGCATGAAGAATACGTGGAGGCGTGTTCCAGCAGTTGTACCATTGGGCCCGGAGTCGCTTGTTCATACAGCTGGGTCATCCCAGTCAAATTCCAAGCTAACCTGACAGGTTCTAGAAGTCCACTCAAGCGGAAAGTTTGATTGTCAAGCTTGTGCCAATTTGGAGGGCTTCATGTGATATCAAGAGGCCCAGTTAGTCCATAGAAACGCCGCTCACTTTCTTCATTTCATCTTTTGTATGGTATTTTGACTTAATGGACCCGGGCCAAAGTAGTTGACCCTTGATGTGAACTCGAGTGTTGTGACCTCGTGTCGGGGATAAGTCAAATGTTATATTTTGACCGGTCCGAGCCTCGCTGCCTGCGACGTCACAGAGATTTGAAGAGGCAATGAACATTCGATACGCACTTTTTCAGACTCCCGAATTTTCAGGAGCCTGAGGCTTCGGAGTCGGAGTGTATAACTCTGCCAGGTTGTATCTTTTCAGTTTGTCGTAATCACTACCGGCAACACTTATCCCGACTACGTTCTGGTTGAGTTGATTATGATTAGTGGAATGAAGCATAGGATTATCTATCGGGCCAGCCTGCATATCAGGCAACTCACCTGGATAAGATGGACAAGGATAATCAAATCGTAATTCTTGAGATCAACAGGATGTTCGGGGCCTACGACATCTGCAATCGTTTTGATCACACTATCCCTGTTGAATTTATTGTTGCCCCTTATTGTAGGCCGAATAGCGTACTGTATAGAATTGACTAATATCAGCACCGCCATTTCAGACAACGCAAGTAATGCAACACAAGGGAACAAAGACGCACCTTCTTCGGAGGTCCTCCGGAGTGAAAGTGAGGTTTCAGAATTTCTTTTGCGAACGCTTCTAGATCGACACTGAGGGTCTTTCGAATTGATCTTACAGGGGTCATCCGCTGGACCCATCGACACCTCTTCTTCTCGGGATTTGCGTGAGCATCAAGACAAACTTCGTGAACTAATTTCTCAGGATCTATCGACTTGTCAAATCGTATGAATGTCACTGTCAAGGATCAGCCCAATGTCATGCTATGATGGGACCCAAGTGGTGCGATGACGGACCGCAGGGCATCTCCATTCTAATGGCTTGAAATTGGCGTGGTTTGGCTGACCCGGGCTTCAAGCCTTCAATTTCTTTCTTGATTTGCGCCTCAATGTCTCCTTCGTCATCATCTGAGCCTGAGTCTTCGCCTCTGGTGTTGCCGCCTGCTGACTCAACGCTCTGATAGATGTCGTGAATCAGATTGGGAACAGTCATAGTGCAACAAGCCGGACTGATCTTGGCATGACACTGACCTGAGAGAAGAGATCTAGAGCTTCTGCAATGCACTTGCCTTCCCTGCCCATATCACAAGTCACGAAGACCCCCCAGTCGCCGCTCTCAATTATCGCCTTGTTGCTTTGCTGCTTCTGCCATTTGCCGCCTCCCTGTGGTTGCGTTAGCGATACAAGATATAAGAAATATTGACATTGATGGAAAATCCTCAGAATAACGGATATGGAAATCTCTCGTAGAAAGCGTTGTAAGGAAGCGAACCTTTCTTCTCTTGCTGGATTGATCGCTTGTGTTATCAGGCATAGCTCGTTTTTCCGCTCCAGCCATTCACACTGATACCAAATTGGTGGTGGAAAGTACCGTAGTGACAAGAAAGACTCGCTGATGAGTGCAAAGCCGTGTCGATAAATTTCCTCTTCTGGTAATATATTTAGTCGAAATAAAGGAGCCAGCACCTTTCAAGGTCTTATTGCACTGCGAGTAGTTATCTACCTAGTCTGCAATTCGACCCAGTCATTGGTGAACTGAAAACACCAGAGCTTTAGAGGGGTCGGGTTCTATCTCAAAAAGTCCAGAATTCCATAATTGGCTTAGCGGGTGGTGGGACTAGCGGGATGATCAACTTATCAACTTATCATGCTAGGCCGGCATTTTCGGACTCGGGCTGGAAGTAGATGAAGAACGGGCTCTTATAGAACAACCAAGCTTTTACGGAGCACCAAGATTGAATTCGAACGTTTTTAACACAAGAAGAATGTTTTTGGGATACTGTAACCCAGCGAGATATCGACTCCTTATATTGCCGTACCTTGAATGAAGGTCGCAAATGCATCGTTTAAAACACCTAGATGGTGCCGTGGAGCAGCAGCATTCATGGTCCCATCTCAGCTAAATCCAGCAGAACCGCATGACATCACGCTATGCTCATGACGACACCTCAACACCCTGGGAGATGGCACAACGTCCGGTGTTCTTACGAAGTATTTTATATCTTGGACCTTGCCCCTGCATCGGACATTTTTAGTTCACTTTTACAGCTCTCCATACAATATATCCTCATTGTTCAATCGACACTTCATAATGGCCACTGACATTGCGACAAGGGAGCTTCACAAGCCTATTGACGTCGCCGAATATCTATTCCGGCGTCTCCACGAGGTTGGAATCCGCTCAGTGCATGGTGTTCCTGGTGAGCGATCCTCTCCAATTGGGAGTCCCCATTCAGAACTCTGGTGTTGACCATACCATTTCAGGTGACTATAACCTTGCGGCTTTGGACTATCTGCCAAAATGTGGTCTTCACTGGGTAGGAAACTGCAACGAGCTCAATGCAGGTACGTAGTGCGGTGTAATTGATTGAAAGCAGCTGGTTAGAGCAAGATGGCGCAGTGTCTGATACCTTGACTTAAAACAGGTTACGCCGCTGATGGGTATGCCCGAGTGAATGGAATCAGTGCATTGATCACGACTTTTGGCGTTGGTGAGCTGTCAGCGATCAATGCCATTGCTGGTGCATACTCCGAATTCGTACCCATTGTCCATATCGTCGGTCAGCCACACACCAGGTCTCAGAGAGACGGAATGTTGCTTCACCACACCCTCGGCAATGGCGACTACAATGTCTTTGCAAGAATGAACGCCGGTATCTCTACGACTGTCGGACGCTTAAATGATACCCACGAAGTAGCGACACTCATTGACAATGCTATCCGAGAATGCTGGATCCGAAGCCGACCGGTCTATATTACTCTGCCAACCGATATGATCAATAAGAAGATTGAGGGAGAACGACTGAACACCCCGATTGACCTTTCTTTGCCATCTAATGACCCAGAGAAGGAAGACTACGTGGTGGATGTTGTTCTCAAGTATCTCCACGCAGCTCAAAGACCGGTTATTTTGGTCGATGCTTGCGCCATCCGTCACAAGGTGCTACAAGAAGTTCATGACCTTATGGAGGCCTCCGGCCTGCCAACTTTCGTGGCGCCGATGGGCAAAGGAGCAGTCAACGAGACGCACAAGAACTATGGCGGTGTTTACGCTGGGGACGGATCCAACACTGGTGTTCGAGAACAGGTGGAGTCTTCCGATCTGATTCTTAGCATTGGTGCGATCAAGTCGGACTTCAACACGGCTGGTTTCACCTACCGCATTGGTCAGTTGAATACCATCGATTTCCACAGTACATACGTGCGAGTGCGATACTCCGAGTATCCGGACATCAACATGAAAGGTGTCTTGAGAAAGGTCATTCAGAAGTTGGGGCGTGTCAACGCCCAGCCAGTGCCGCAGCTCAGCAACAAACTGCCCGACGATGAGCCGAAGTCGGGTGACCAGCCAATCACACACAGATGGTTCTGGCCCAAGGTCGGCCAGTGGCTCAAGGAGAACGACGTTGTCATTACAGAAACTGGCACTGCAAACTTTGGGATCTGGGAAACGAGGTTCCCCGCAGGTGTCACGGCGATCAGTCAGGTACTCTGGGGTAGCATTGGCTATTCAGTGGGAGCTTGTCAGGGAGCCGCACTGGCCGCCAAAGAGCAGGGCAATCGTCGAACTATTCTCTTTGTCGGAGATGGAAGCATCCAGCTCACATTGCAGGAGATCAGTACGATGATCAGGAACAAGCTCAATCCCATTATGTGAGTTCCCCAGGCAATCCAATTCAAGTTTAAGCTGTGCTAATGAACAATCAGTTTTGTCATCTGTAATGAAGGATATACCATTGAACGGTACATCCACGGATGGGAAGCGAGCTACAATGACATCCAGCAGTGGGACTACAAGAGCCTTCCAGTGGCATTCGGAGCAGGAAATAATTACAAAGGTTATCAAGTCAAGACCAAAGACGACATGATCAAGCTTTTCGAGAACAAAGAATTCGCTTCAGCGCCGTGCCTGCAGGTAAGCAAGCATCTCCAATCACTCGAGTTTTCGGGATACTGATCAGTGTTGTAGTTGGTGGAGCTATACATGCCGCGGGAAGATGCACCATCAGCTCTGAAGTTGACAGCTGAAGCAGCAGCCTCGCGCAACAGATAGATTGTCTGTATAACGAGTCTTGAGAAAAGGTCAAAATCATTGATGTGGGATATATAGAACGATGGATACTGTTGGGATTTGGCCTGATACCAGCCATTAATGAGTTAGAATTATTTAATTGATTGTTGCGCGAGAGGACGAGTCTATCCCGACCATGAAAAAGGTACCGGGTTGACCCAAGGATGATTTCCCAACCGCGTAATGGAAATGCGGTCGGACCGTAGGGCTGAGGCAGTGTAGATAAAAATGTACACGGACAACGCCGTCACGGAAAGTGTCCGTAGGTCGGGACTCCATCCCCATAGTAAGACAAATCCCTTTCAAGTTTTCCCCCCAATTTGATTGCAACTGGCGATGCTAGATCAGGCATCATAGGGCAATGCGACGGAGAACAAACAGTAAATATGAGAAGAATTAGATACTTTACCTTACTAGGTACCCTACCTGCTTTACGTACCGTACTTGAGGTGCAGCGGATGAACGAGTCGGAAAGAGAATCTGGACTTATCACTGGGCCACCACGTGATAGACAAGGCATCCAGCGCATCAACGATCCCCATGAATGAAACCTTGGGCTGGATCTCCATTGAATGGAAGGATTCTTATTATTGAGCTATGTCGAGTCCTTTCGGTCCGTCTCCATACTCCATACTCCATAGTCATGTCAAAAACATTCTTTAATATCTATTAGTGACTGCCAAGACCTGCTATCTATCTCCTGTCTCAGTGTCATTTTATCGATTGTTCATGGTATGTTTTTCCCTTGTCAGTCTATCTTCCGCGGCATTTGCTTCCCCTCCCCCTTCCGATTCCAAAGTACGCAGAAAGCTCTACCTGCTATCGAGGAAGGTTGCTGGTCACCAATTCTGCCATTTTGGTTGTTGCTCAACGTCGGGGTAGCAGGTCGATTCAAAGTTTACATAGACTGCGTTTACGTCCTTTAATCGTACAATCAGCACACGCATCTTGAAACCTCTCCGACTCCCTCCCGCGATCACGGCAACTCTAAGCGTCGACTGCTTTATTCAAATCCATACTGCCCACATATTTCTTCATAGGATAAAGGGATTTGCGGGGTATGAAATGAGATCTTGACTGTTGTTTGGGGTCATGCTGGTTTACTGTCCTGCACCATCGTTCTCAGAAGTGTCCGACAAGCTCAAATGCGCGTGTGATAACAACGATTACGTCTCCGAATCACCTGTCTAGGAACGCAACGTACGCCTGATGTCTGATTAAGCCCGAGGTTTACCCTGCGAAGGCATGAGATTTCGAGGCTTGTTTTAGGACCGCATACCAGAGGCACAAGGAGACAGTTACACACGAGAGCTCAGCGGCTGCGCAGTCTTGTGCGATCTATCTGTGCATTTCTACACTACTCGACAAGTGGATTGAACATAGCGGTATAAGCAGACCACGACGCTGCCCATCATGGATGGTCAAAGGCAGCAAGCGTACATACCTGCCCCTCCACCTCCTTCTGCGACACAGCCATCTCAGTCCCACATGCTTTCGCTACCACCACCGCCGCCTCGCCATCTGCCTACGCAACCTCAGGGTGTGATGCCGCCTCCCCCTCCAGGACCGCCCCCGGGACCACCTCCAGGTTCTGGATATGGCGCGTCGAAGCTTGCAAACTCCCAGTTGCAGCAGCAGAACAATCTCGGATGGCAGCATAATTGGGCTAGGCAAGCGCTATCTCAAGGGTTTCTCCCGCCTCCCCCGCCGCCTCCAATGGTACCGACAAACCAAGCTTACGGTCGTCAAACGAGCTTGTCAGTCCCCACTGCCGACGGTCCGATTACATCTGCGACTTATGTTCCAGGCAGTAACACTTTCGGTGCCGGCGTCGGGATTCCTGGGTTCGATGCCCACACGCGGCCTTCGTATGAGGCTTATGGAACCATGTCGGGGAGCGATAGGATAAGAGGACCCGTGCACCATTTCTACGAAAGCTCGGTCGGAGATGTTTCAGCATACAAGCGCGATGGAACAGTACCACCTACCTCATCAGCCCGTACAATGCCCTCTTCTTTGGCATTGCATGATAATGCGCAGGATCCCGTGGCTCCTTCCCTTCCTGGTGCGGCTGTTCAGAATCATCAGTCTCAGACAGGCCAATCAAACGAGCCGACAAAATCTCCTAGCCATCGCCAAAACAATGGTAACACGTTGCTTGGCGGCATGTCACCCAGCGAGGCTGCTGTTCAGTGGCCACTTGATCGAGTGCTGCTATGGCTTGCGAAGAATGGTTTCTCGAAAGATTGGCAGGAAACGTTCAAGAC